TGTAGTGTGGCCGTTGAGTCTCAGTTTCCCTTTAGCCCATTCTTCTTTACTTGCAAATGTTCATTGCTGTGAGTCATTGGTCTAGCTGCAGGCCTCTGGTTTCTCCTCTACCACTGACAATGGGCTCTCACTGGGGCTCCCCTTGGATAGCCTGATGTTGTCCTGTGTTGTTGCGATCCTGCTGTTTTGGATCTGTAGGTTCGTCCCCTTCACATGCTCCAACAGTTCGTAGACAAGGGGGCCAACTCATAACCCTGGTTCTGGGCTTGGGTGGTAACTGGGATAGTCAGCTCCCTAGCATTCCCTCATCACCACTAAAGGGGTGACCTCTCCAGCACTGCCTTGGCTAGCTCACCCAATGCAGCCTGCAGCAAGGGGTGGGTCAGTTCTGCTGCTCTCAGGGCTTCAGATCCTGGTCATCCACACTCACACCACCACGGCCACCTCTACTGTTTTGCCCAGGCAAAGCCCTTTCTCCAGATTGCTGTAAGGGACATATGGGTGTGTGTGTGTGTGTGTGTGTGTGTGTGTGTGTGTGTGTGTGTGTGTTATTCAGCTCTCCTGTTCTCACGCCCTCAGGGCTGGCTCACCTGCATACCTGACAACAGGATCAGCTCTAGTGTGCTGCCCAAACTGGAAGCAGAGCCTGCTTTCCTGTGTTTGTAACCAGTGAGGGTCAAGGCTAGCTCTCTCATTCTTGTGATCCCCGGGCCAGCTCTCTTACGTGCCTCAGGTGGTAACGTGAGGGGGAGGGTATCTTTCTCTCACCCATGCCACCATATGTCAGACAAGTGGGGGGAGCAGGGTCACCTCTCCTGCTCTCATGCCCTCAGGGTTGTCTCCTCTGCATCTCTGATCACAGGGTTAGCTCTAGTGTGCTGCCCAGATAAGGCAGAAGCCTGTGGTGAGGGATGGGGTCATCTTTCCCGTGCAGGTCAAGCTCTCCCGAGGGGTAGCCCCAGCTCTCCTGCTGCAGTATTCAGTGAGGTGGTGCTATCAGCTATCACTGGGCCAGTGAAGGGTGGGGTCGGCTCAGCACAGCATGCTTCCTATGTCCCCTTGTGCTAACATGAGCCATGGACATCATCACAGACCCCAGCAGGACCATGGGCCCAGACAGCAGCTCAGGCCAGGATGTTGCCACCCAGATCAGTATGGCCCCGGTGGCAGCATGGCCCTTGGGCACCAACATGGTTTCAGGTGGCTGATCCAACCATAGGCCCCTGAATGGCGTCCAGCAGTGATAAGAACCAGACATCAACACAGGCTCCCCTCAGCTGCTCCAGGGCCCCAGACCAAGACTCCACCCTTGGCCATAGCCCAGGCCTGGACATCGCCTTGACTCGGGTGGCCAGCAGGCCATTTGTGTCAGCCCTTTCCTCACCACCCTGACCTCTCCAGTTCTGTTTCTCTTCCCAGCCCAAGCACCATCCCACCTCTGTCTCCCACCTCCCCATCCTGAACCCTCCCACCATAATGGTGCTGACTGCCCTGAGACAAGGCTCTTGGCTGAGTCCTTCCTGCCCAGCTGCAAGGCATGGTGGGAGCTGTTATCTTTCCTCTCTCTGGTACCTGGGTCTAGAAACCTTGGACAGCACTTGGTATGATGGTGCCAGATCACACCCTACATCCTCTTCAACATTCGTTGTCAGATTTCTTGATAGCATTCTGACTGGAGTGAGATGGTGTGTCAATGCAATTTCTACATGTCTCTGATGACTAGGCATGTTTAACAGTTTTAAAAAAGTAATTGTGAGCCGGGCGTTGGTGGAGAACGCATTTAATCCCAGCACTCCGGAGGCAGAGGCAGGCGGATCTCTGTGAGTTTGAGGCCAGCCCGGTCTACAGAGTGAGTTCCAGGACAGCCTCCAAAAGCCACAGAGAAACCTTGTCTCGAAAAACCAAATAAATAAATAAATAAATAAATAAATAAATAAATAAATAAAATAGTAATTGTGTTTCTTTTGTAAACCATCTGTTCAATATCCTGACTGTTGATTGGCAGTTTGAATTTCTTGGTGTTTCATTTTTGCAATCCCTTATAAATTCTGGACATTAGCCCTGTCTTAAGTACAGCTAGAGTAGATTTTCTCTGTTCTGTGGGTTGTTTGCTCTGTGTATAGTTTTGTTTTTGTATTTGCTTTGCAGGAATTGTTTAGTTACACATAGTCCCGTCTGTGGATACCTGGGGCTTGATCTTGTGCTAATGAAGTCCTATTCATAAAGTACTTTCCTACTCCAGTGGTTAAGTGTATACAAGTGCTAGGATTAAAAAGGGGCCTTTTGTATCCCTTTTTTACAGAGCCAGGGTTCTGCCTGCCATGCCTGCAGGGGTGACACACTCTGCCAGGTCCCCAAGGGGCGGGGCTAAGGTGTGCCTGGATGCTAACAGCATATAATTTAGAAATGAAGGGTAGAGTTAGGGGATGAGGAAAGACAAAACACAGGCAAAGAGACACACGAGTCAGAGTTCAACTCTATCATAGTTGGCTTTATGTGTGTGTAGTGGTTAAGTGTGTACAAATGCAATTGATAGTGAAAATGTGAAGCCCAAAGTGAGGCTTCATGGTTCGGAATGGCCATGGTAATGGATAAGAAGTTCAAGGAGGTGTGTGGTTTGGTACAGCCAAGAGTGAGCAGGCTGTTGCTGCCATGAACTCCGCCATGCCTTTCTATTATGACGCACTGAACCTTCTGAAGCCACGAGCCAACAAAAACCTTTCTTTGCTTCTTTCTGTCAGATATTTTGGTCACAAAAAGAAGAAAAGTAACAAATTTCCCTTTAAAATGTATATTAGAGCTGGGCAGTGGTAGCACACGCCTTTAATCCCAGCACTCGGGAGGCAGAGACAGGCAGATCTCTGTGAGTTCGAGGCTGGGCTGGACCGACAGCCTCTAAAACAATACAGAGAAACCCTGTCTCGTAAAAACCAAAAAAAAAAAAAAGTACATTATTTCTATAAAACACATAGCTGGAACAGCTGCATTATGGTCAGATAGAGCAAAAGAGTGAAAATAAAAAGAGCAAAGAACTGATCGTTTTCCCAGGAGGAACATTCCACACTAATAAAACTTTTAGAGGAGGTGAGTACCGACAGTAACAACTGATCGACACACAGGAAATGCAGACTGCGCCACAGTTATAGTCATATTTCAGTACTTTTTCAGCACTGGGTATTGAACCCAGGGTCTCACACAACAGGCTGAACTACTGTCCTACAGTCCCAGCCTGTCAATATGCCTTTCTTTCTTTTTTTTTTTTGAGACAGGGTTTCTCTGTATTGTTTTCGAGGCTGTCCTGGAACTCACTCTGTAGACCAGGCTGGTCTCGAACTCACAGAGATCCGCCTGCCTCTGCCTCCCGAGTGCTGGGATTAAAGGCGTTTGCCACCAACTTATACCTAAGAGGATAACCAAGGCAGGAAATGTTGAGGATCTGAGTAATAATATCAACTGACCAGACTTGACTAACATTTGTAAAACATGCTACTCAATAATTCTAGAATATACTTTATTTCTAATGCACAATGAACATTTATCACATCCATATTTGGACCCACATGACAGGTTTTTAACACATTTAAAATGATTTAAATTATAATATCTGATTATAATGGTATTAAATTAGAAATTATGAACAGGAAGCTATTCAGAAATATTTAATTTCAGACATTACTATACACTTATAAAGCACCCACAGGCCAAAGAAGAAATAACAGGGAAATTATAAAGGATTTTCAGATCAAGAGAAAACTCATTTTATCAAAATAGGAGGGATTCGGGGAGGGTCGGGTCCTACCCTGAATGAAATGACAGACTGTGGACACCCCCATGGAGGGCCTCACCTTCCCTGGGGAAATGAGGGGATATTGGCAGGAATTGGGGGGAGGGCACGGGAGGAGGGAGGGAAACGGAGAGGGACCTGGAACTGACTTGTGAAGCAACCTTGTTTCTAATCTAAATTTAAACTTAAAAATAAATAAAAAAGAAAAAAAGAAAAAATAGGAGGAATTCAGCTAAATTAGTATATAGTATACTACATAGTAAGATATAGTATAGAATATAGTATATATAATATACATCATCAGTAACAGTACATATATAATCAGTAAACAGCATATAGTAATATGGTTATCAGTATATAGTAAGTTATTAAATGATTGTATCACAATGATGACCTCAGTTTGTGAGTTAAGTGGAAAATTAAAAATTTAATAACTAAAAGCATGAGAAATAACAAAGAAACAACTAGAAAACCAAAAAAGCAATAAGCAAACCGACAATTATTAATTTCAGGAATGGGAGCAGTCACATTGTTATACTTCCTGCCAGGACAATACCAGGACTATTGTTAACAGATTTACATCAGTAAATCAAGCAGTCTATAGACAGTTTCAGAAGATGCTAAAACGCCTGGTGGGCAAGGGAGTGCTAGCTGTTAAGGGCAGGGTGCTGTGTGGGCTTTGGGCATCATGGACATTTTTTTGTCTCCAAAAACCTGTTTTTCGGAGGAGAGAACCACTTAAAGCTCAATGCTGATCTTTCCAGGAAGGGCGAGGTGAGGTTGGTTTTCCACCATCTCCTGGAAGAACAGGCCGGCAGGAAATGGCTGACCGAAGAGAAGCCGCAGGAGACCTCGGAGGGGGCCACGGCCCCGCAGGCAGCCTTCGTCGTTCCCTTCCGTCCCCGCTGCCGGGCCGGCGTCGCCCAGGCCGTCCCGAGCCGGGCAAGCCCTGCGCCTGCGCGGCTCCGCAAACGCGCTCACCAGCGGCGGCTGCCGGAAGTCTGACCTTTCGCTCCCGCTGCATATTCCCATCCGGGGTCACGCCGATCTTCCGGGTATCTCTGACAGGGCCTTCTACGCCGCCTTTTCGGCGACTTTCTGGTCTTCCGCTTTTTTTTTTCCTTTCTCTTTATTGTCGCCGCCCCCTTACCTTCCACGCCCGCGCGTGCCAGGACCGCACCGGCCCTCGCCTCTCCGCCGCCCGGCCGGTCCCGGGTCACCCGCGCGAGCTGGGCCTCGCCGTGCTGCTCCTCCCTCGGCCGGCTCGGGCGGCAGCTCGGGCCCGGGAGCGTGTTGGCGGGCGGTGCCGCTGGGCCCTGCTCGGCTCTTTGGCGTGGACGCCGGTGAGTGGAGGGGCTCGGGGGTGGGTGGGGGATGCACGTGAGCAGGGCCGGGCGCGCGGAACTTTTCTGAAGCTGGCGTTGCGCTTTGCGCGGGGAGCCCGGCGCTGTCCCGCAGCTGCCCAGACTAGGGGCGTTCCCCGGGCGCTGCGCTGGGGGAAGAATGTTGGCGCCGCCGGCTTCTCTCCCATTACGTCTTCTCTCTAGTTCTCCCGTCGCCTCCCGCTCCGTCTTCACTCCCCAGACCGAAAGAGTAAGACTGTCTTAGATCCTTCCTCCTGGTATTCCAAAAGGCAGGGGGAGAACTAAGGTAAATTAAGTTAATCACCGTGGAAGGCATCTTATCTTTTAAGACATTTTGGTTAAGTAGCGTGAAGTCTCCATGGTAAAACACACACACACACACACACACACACACACACACACACACACACACACACACACACACACACACACACACACACACAGAGGTCGGGACTGGCGGGTCGAATGCACTTTTGTCAGATTTTGCGGCCAGATTCTCTATCTTTTTATCTGGCTAAGAACACAAGAGGGGCTTATGTTTTCCCAGACTTTGATTTAAGTTCCCTCCGTTGTTTTCGCCTCTTTAAGCTTTGTTTACAATAATTAGATCGTCGATTAAAGAAAGAGAAGGGTATTTAAGTGTTCTTTCTTATTTTGCCTCCTTCAGCTTTGTTTAAATTAAGATTATTGATAAAAGGAAGAGAAAGAAATTGCGCAAGTCTGGTTGGAAAATTAAGTGTATGTTTTTTGTGGCTTCTGTTTATATACAGATACACTACCATCATATTATATTGTTCAGTACTGCCAGGCTATGGTGTGCTAACCACTATAATACTCTTAATTTGTACTGACTAATTACCGTTAACAGAAGCATTACTTGGTAGGTGTGAATAGCCCCAGTTATATGTGATCTAGAAAAGTCCTGTTAAGTACATAGACTCCGTGTGAAATGGGCCAGCTTTCAGTCATTTGAGAAATGTCCATTTGGAGCCTTGTTGCTAGATTTTTCTTTTAATTCTTGGATGGAATTTAATTTTTAATAAAAAAAGGAATGTGTTGTTAAAACCTGAAGGCGGTTTTGACAGTGGGTGAGCAGGATTTAGGAGTTAGACTTTTTCTGTTGTGGAGAATAGAACTGAACATTTTAGGGGATTAGAGACACTTAGATAAAGTAAACAGAGAACTTGATCTAGCTTGTTTGTATTAGGTAGATGTTAATTTCCAAGGAGTTTTGATGAAGAGACCATTATGTAAACATGAGTGTTCTATAATTTGTAGAAGAGATCGATTTGAGGACATTAATTCCAGTTGCAAATTAAAAGACCTAATGCTGTTACCACTAGAAATACTTTCTAAACTGTTACTATTTTGTCTCATGTATGCTCATTTGCACATAACCCTGTTTTAATCTTTCATGGTTTAAGCATATTGGACAAAGTAGGCTTTAAAGGTCTTTTCTCAAGGCAAGAACCAGCATAATGGTTTTAAAAACAGTATAGATTTTACCTAGATTATTCTCTTTCACTGTTGAGTACATATTAAAAAGCCAGCAACTTTTTGAGGTAAGAAAAGGAGGATGCTATCAAATTCATATCACTACAGATAACATGGAGTAACTTCTTACAGACAGATAGTCTTTGGTTAAGGAAGCTTCATTAAGACTAGAAAGAAAATAGTTGAAATTTTATAAAGTTCTAGTGTAGTGGTAGTTTCATTTGGCCCTATTTCATATAACTGTTTTATAAGGATTCCTCGTATTTTGTTTTGCTGTTGAGTCAGAACCTCACTTACAGCCTTGGCTAGTCTAGCATTTGCTTACTGGTCCAGGCAGGCCTTGAGCTCACAGAGATCAGCCTGCCTCTGCCCTTTGAGTGCTGGCATCAAAGGTGTGTGCCACCACACCTGGTTCCCTTGTAATTTCGCAATAGATCATTGTTTCAATATTATGACAATCATGATTGAAGTATATTAGAAAAAGAATTTAATGTCTACTTATAGGGTTGAACATCGAGTACTATTTGTTAAATTTCCTAGGAATGGTTCTGTGTTGAAGACTGCCCAGTTAAGAGTTTGACTGGAGGGTCAAGATTCCTGAGATAGTCTGACTGGTATTTTATCTTAGAGGGACTGCACAAGAATGGCTTCTTCTCAGAGGCAGGCCAATCTCTGTGCACAGAATGTTCCAGGCCAGCCAGCATAACACAGTGAGACCCTTTCTCAATAAAATAATAAAATAGAAATTAATGTTCATTTTGCATCTGAGTATGCTGCTCATTTTACATTTGATCATGTGGAACTAGGTATATACACTAGAGTAAATTTTTGAGTCTGAAATCATTCTAGGTTTCTAAGCTTTTAAGTATAGAATCATTTGGTTTTAATGTTGTAGAGTAGTTCTGGGTAACGTATCTTTCAACTTCTACTTAGTTTGGATTTGATTGTGTAATGGGATAGCATTAAAATGAGAGGTGTATTAGCATTTTTTGCATCTTTAAGTCTGAATGCAGACATATAGGGCCTTATTTGGGTCCAGAAGAAAACGACAGTTTATTTATTGGTATAAATTATCTAGGTGTTGAACAATGGACTTCTGTAAATGAACCTGAAATAGTATTATTGTTTTTATTTTATTTTTTTCAGATGTATCTATTATTTTATGTGCATGCCTGGTGCTCAGGAAGGTCAGCAGAAGGCTTTGGGTTTCCTGGAACTGGAGTTACAGATAGTTGTGAGTCACCACGTGGTGCTGAGAACCATACCGGGTCCTCTGAGGGAGCAGTCAGTACTCTTGACTGCTGCGCACTCCAGCCCTCTTGTGTGCTTTTAGAAATGGGTTTTCACTCCTATGGCACCCAGGCTGTACTTAAACTTCAGGTCTACCTGCCTGAGCCTCCTTAATTTTGAGATTTCAGGCTTACACCACCATTTCTATCTTTGAAAAAGAACTTCTGTGTTGTGTTTTTTGAGACAATGTTCTTATGCCCAGGTTGGGTTTGAATTTGCTGTCTTTCCAGCTAGTCTCAAACTGCTGACCATCCATCCTCCCTTGTCCTCCCAAGGGCTGGATTCCAGGTGTGTGCCACTATGCATGACTTGAAATAGAATTTTTTGGTTTTAATTTTTCTAAGTATAGATGGCTTCTTTTACTTAGATCCATAGTTTCTATAGTTCAGCAAAATGAAATGCCAAGCAAAATTCATTATAGCTAACCACTTAATGACTTTTTTTTATATAACCCCCATGAAAAACACTTTTTAAATGAGAAGTTAGTTCAGGGAAGTGGAGTAAAGGAAACCAACTCTTAACCACCATTTTGAAACTTCTGTGCAATGAAATTCAGAGAGAACAGGTCAGCAAATACTCATAAAAATAATTAAAATAAAAAAGGAAGTACAGACTTCCTGGAGGAATTTGACACTTATTTCCTATAGACAAGAAAATTGAGCACCTTTTGTAACCTGAATATCCTTTGCATAATAATATATACACATTAAACGTCCATATCAGTATATAAATTCAGAACATAAATATGTAAATACAAATACTATGTAACATATAGTAAATGATATATAACAAAGATAGCAACTTTTGTTTAAGTTGGTATATTTAATGGTTATATTATCATAAGAACCAAATATCCCCAGGCAGTGTGTGGTGGCTCATGCCTTTAATCCCAACACTTGGAAGACAGAGGCAGGTGGATGGATCTCTGAATTTGAGGCCATTCTGGTCTATAAAGTGAGTTCAGGGACAGCCACGGGTACACAGAGAAATCTTGTTTCAAAAAACCCCAAATCAAACAAAACAAAAAACAAATATCTTAGAAAAACACCCTGATCAAATTCTTAGGATGATCCACAAAGCTTTTCTTTTTTTTTGTTTTTTTTTGTTTGTTTGTTTTTGGTTTTCGAGACAGGGTTTCTCTGTGGCTTTGGAGGCTGTCCTGGAACTCGCTGTGTAGACCAGGCTGGTCTGGAAGATCTGCCTGCCTCTGCCTCCCGAGTGCTTTGTTGTTGTTGTTGTTTTACGTGTCCTTCCGTGTAATGACTTTTATCAGTACTGCTATTATTTTCTAACTTTGAGACTATAATTACATCATTTCTCTTTCTCTTTATTTTCTTCATACCCTTCCATTTGCCCTTTCTTGCTTTCTTTTGAATTCACAGCCTTTTTAAAAATTATTACATGCCTGTATTATATTCACAGCATATTCCTAAATATAATCTGCTCAGTTTGTGTGATGGTACTTGTATGTATTATTTTAGTGCTGACCATTTGGTTTTGGATAGCAGTTGTTGTCTCTTCCCTGGAGAAGACTATTTCTCCCACTATCGGCATCCTTGGTTGACTGTATTTGTGTAGGGCTGAGGCCTTGTAGTCGTTCCCCAGTTCACCTTAACATGCCTGTTATTGTCCTTGTTGAGCAGCTCATGGTTAGGAAGTCATGCTAGTGAGACTTAGGAGTATAGCATCTCACATTACTAGGAGATGCAGTCTCACAACAAACTTCCTGATCCTCTGACTCTTAGATCTTTCTGCTTCCTCTTCCCATAGTGTTCCCCATCCTTAGGTGTGGAAATTGTATTGTAGATGTATCCTTTGGGACTCGGCCATGTGACTGTAGTTTGATTGGTTGTGGTTCTTGTGATGGTTTCTGTTTATTGAAAAGAGAATTTTCCTTGAGAGGTGAGAACTGCATTAATCTGTAGATATAAGGACAACTATTTAGAATGTGGTTAGGGATGTTGGTTTAGTCAAGTGATGGTTGTAGGTTTTCCTCTAAGATCTATGACTTTATTAGTTCTCTTAGCTAGGTTGGTTTTCTGTACCAGACATGACTCTCTAGGTGAGTGGGTTTTAAGTCCAATTAAAGAGCTCTTGATTACTGCCAAGGTATGCGTGGCACTGCTGCACCCTTAGTTTTACCATGCAATGCTGGTCATTGTGGTTTGTAGGCATCGTAGCTCAGAACTGTTGGTTACTTCTCTCCTTTGGAAGCTTTCATGATATCTTCAGGTACCACGAAAGCTAATCCAATCTTCGGGAGGGGGCATTCAGGTCAGTTCAGCTCAGGCCTCTGGACGCTGTGTCTTAAGTGCATGGTATCTTCAGGAATAGGGACTTAACCTTCCACCCCTTGGGGAACTAAAGGCCTGTAATACTTTGGGAGTCTGACAGCTTTGACCAACAATTCAAAAGGGCTTCTTATGCTTGGTATTGGGGTTTTTGTTAGTCATTGGTTCTTGGCAGGGGCATTGTCAGCCCAAATGAGAAAATTATTTGTGTGTGTGTATGTGTGCATGCTATCATGCGCATGTGCATGCACCATAGAAGTTTGTTAGAGTTTTTGTTGTTTTAGGTAGTTAATAGCATGATTCCTTATGACTTTTTCAAGCATCCTTACTGTTATTTAACCTTCCCTCCTCCTCCTCCCCCTCCTATAATTTATTTCTGCCCCCCTTCCTAATTGGAGCCTTTCCCCTTCCCATTTCCTGGATCAGATAACTTGGACCCTGCTATTGACCTCTCTGTTCCTCCACCCATGTGCCTCAGCAGTGGTCCCTCTTTCCTGGTTTCTGCAGTAACTCCAGAATGTGTCCACATCTGAAGATTTGAAGATAGGAACTTCTGAATAGAGAGAACATGCCACATTTTTCTTTGTACATTCCTCAGTTGAAGGACACTTATGTTGTTTCCATTTCCTAGCTATTGTAAATAGAGACGTGAACATGACTGAGCAGATATCTGTAGAGTAGGATGTTGAGTCTTTTGGGCATATGCCAAGGAGGGGAGCTGGTTATATGGTAGATTTATTTTTAGGTTTTTGTTTTGTTTTGTTTGTTTGTTTGTCTTGAGGCAGGGTTTCTCTGTGTAGCTTTGGAGCCTGTCCTGTCACTTGCTCTGTAGACCAGGCTGGCCTTGAACTCACAGAGATCTGCCTGCCTCTGCCTCCTGAGTCCTGGGATTAAAGGCGTGTGCCACCAACGCCTGACATTGTTTTTAGTTTGGAGGATTTACCCACACTGAGTTTCAGAGTGGACAGACTAGTTTGCAGTCCCACCAACAGTGAATGAATGAGGATACCCTTTCCCACAGCACCTCCAGTGTTTGTTATTGGTTGTTTTGTTGATCTTTGCCATTCTGGCTGGATTAAGATGCTATCTCAAAGTTGTTTTGATTTGTATTTCTTGAGTATCATCTTGAGACCATCTTTCTGCTTTGACTTTGAGCAACTGTTAACTTCCCTTTCCTATCATTCTGGGAATTTGCCCTAATCTGGATTTTCTCTCTTTATTTTGAGACAGGTTCACTATGTTACCTCACTGACTTGAGACTCTCATATATACCAGGCTGGCCTTGAGCTCATGGTGATCTGCCTGCCTCTGTCACCACTGCTGGCTGAAAACAATTTTTCACCTTCCACCTCAGTCTCCTGAATAATGGGACTACTAGTGTGTGCCACCCAACCCATCTCTCTCTTTTTACCATTCGCATTTACAAATATTTTCATTTTCCCTTAGTATAGACTTGGATAGTCTTACGGTTTAACATTTTACTTAAACTTTAAAGCTTTAAAGGCATTAATTTGTGTCTTGTGTCTTCCACTATTGTTATTAGAAAGTCCAAAGACATTTTGATCTCCAACTTTATAATATTTCCTCCTCTGGAATATTGATAAACTTGTTTTCTTTGGATATTCTAAAATTCCATCTGTGTATGTGTGTGATTTTTTAGTCCAGGACATTTTTTCTTTTATTTGTTTAGTGATTTTTCCTTTTTGTGTGTTTTCTGTTTTTCAAGGACTAAATGTTGGATTACTTGGGCTCTCTAGGCATTTTTCTTTGAATGTTGATTTGCTACAGTTTCTCCGTATTCCCTGTTCCTTTTCTTCCCACTTTGGTGTTCTGTGGGTGCCTTATTTTAAGTATGAGCTACTAGAAGTCTAAACGAAAGCTGCTTATATATGAATGGTACCTGGCAGCTGTTTGCATTTCTCATAGGGAGGCTGGGCAAGTACTTCTGTTAAGTTCTGGTGGTAGACCCTTAACTTTTACTATGTTCTGTTGTTTTGCTTATTGTTATATTGTACAATGTTTCTCAGTTAGGAATTTTCTAATTGTTTTAAAAAGCTAACCAGGGAGTATCATTTTTAATTTGTTTCCTTGGCTTTGGTATGCTACCTTACCCACCCTTTTGAAGACTAGCTTTGCTTAGTCATGGAACAAAATTTAAGAGGAACATCTAGTGTCTTTCTAGGTTAGTGACAGTTCTGATTGTCCTCTTCAGTTTTTTTTTTCCTTTATGGAGCAAGACTGTCTTATTTCTTCAGATAATATAATTCTTAGGTATGAGTTAGGTTGTGAATAAATGTAAGGATCTGAGCAATTTAATTAAATCTCTTGGTTATTTTTGTTAGAATAGTGGTGGCAAAAATTGTGTTGCTATTAAGGTCAATTTATTAACATATTCATTAGAAAATTTAAAACATGAATACTATTGAAAGCAGTTGAATGTGGTTTAGATTTTAAATTAATTATTAGTGATTTGTTGCCCATAGTAGAATTTCAGAAATAACTTTGCAAATGAAATGACTAATTTGATAGATGATTGTTTTAAGTAGTAGATCATACTTATCAAAGAGTTCCATGACTTTAAGCTATAATTTAGTATTCTTTTTAAATTATAGGAAGAAGAATACATGTTCACCTTCAGTGAACAAGAGCATGTTCCCAAACTCCATTTTGGGTCGTCCACCCTTCACCCCAAACCACCAACAGCATAATAATTTCTTTGCTCTCTCACCAACTCTTTATTCACACCAGCAACTTATTGATGCACAATACAACTTTCAAAATGTAGAGTAAGTATGGTATTATATTGGACAGTGTTATTACGTTCTGTTTTCTCTTTGGTATGTTTTTGTATTCAGTATGAAAGCAGAGAAAATATTGTTAAGCCTTGTTTTCTTTTGACTAGTTTTTAGCTTGTGTGGAATTTTTGGTTCTAAAGAAAAGTATTTATGTCACTATTCTCTGGTTTTGGTAGCTTGTCTAGAGCGGTGACCTTACAGCCCCTGGCATATGGAGCTGTCAGTCCAATACAGACCTCGACATCCCCATTATTTCGAGGAAGGAAGTAAGTATATCTCAGTTGTTTCCTAAAAGTTCAAAGAACTGTTTAACAGTTGTATAAAATTGTTTGGACAGTGTGGGCCTAGGTTTTGTTTTCTGATAACTATGCAGTTAGATCAGTCATAGAATTTAAAAACTTCTCTGAGTTCAAACATTTTAATGAATCTTTTTTTTATTTTTATTTATTTATTTTTTTGGTTTTTCAAGACAGGGTTTCTCTGTATTGTTTTGGAGTCTGTCCTGGAACTCGCTTTGTAGACCAGGCTGGCCTTGAAATCACAGAGATCTGCCTGCCTCTGCCTCCCGAGTGCTGGGATTAAAGGCGTGCGCCACCAATGCCCAGCTTTAATGAATCTTGTATTGCTTTATTTCTGCCACTGTAGGTTTTAGATGGAATAAAGCTGTGTTCTTCAATTGAGAACTTTAGCTACATCAGATGTCTTCTTTATGAACTTACTAGAATTACTACAGCAATGTACTGTAAACTGATACTTGATAACATAAAGAGGCTAAAAATCCACATCATACTCAGGAAGTCTGGCTTCCTTTGAAGCCCTTCACTGGCATATAGATTCCTGTTTTTTTGTTTTGTTTTGTTTTGTTTTTTGTCTTGTTTTGTTTGTTTGGTTTTTTTTGTTTTTGTTTTTGTTTTTACAAGACAGGGTTTCTCTGTATTGTTTTCGAGGCTGTCGGTCTAACCTGGCCTCGAGCTCACAGAGATCCGCCTGCCTCTGCCTCCCGAGTGCTGGGATTAAAGGTGTGCACCACCAATGCCCGGCTAGATTCCTGTTCTTGTATTGTCCATTTTCTTTCCTTATTGGTGATCTCATCTCTTCAAGGATGCCTGTTATAATAGATTAGGGTCCCTTGGCAGCCCAGGTATACTTAATTACCTTTTGAAAAGTTTTCTCATAAAATATCTTTGTTTATTTGTTTTTCAAGTCAGAGTTTCTTTGTGTAGTCTTGGCTGTCAGCTGCTTGGACACACCATTTACCTGTTTGGTAACAGGGCTACTTATGCTGAGTCAGTAAGCCTCTCTTAAAGGAGCTTCAAGCCTCTTCTTGTCTCTAGCAAACAGAGCCCACCAGAGAAAATGCTGCTACAAAGAAGCCATGCTTGACTCTGTTCTTTAATTTTTAGAATACCTTTTAAAGTTTTTCAGGTTTTATGTAGACCAGGGTGACCTGGAACTCACAGAGATTCACCTGCCTCTGCCTCTCTAGTGTTGAAATTAAAGGCATGTGCTACCATACCTGGCTGGTATAAGGCTTTCTATAATCATTTCAGAAACCAATTTTAAAATAAATGAATTTATTACAAAATAATTATAATAGAATTTCAGAGGTACTTTCTAAAATAACATTTGGTATTTGTATGACAACATACCTTTTAAAACCTATCTAATCAATTTATAATTTCTATGTTTAGTTAGAAATAATAGAAATTTAGTCCAGGAGTTGGTGTCTCATGCCTTTAATCCTAGCACTCAGGAAGCAGAGGCATTTGGATCTCTGTGAGTCTGAGGACAGGCTGGTCTACAGAGAGAGTTCCAGGACAATACAGAGAAGCCCTGTCTTGGGGGGGAAAAAAAAAGAAATTTAAAATGTAGTGTTCTAAAAACTTTAAAATGATATATCATTAAGTCTTATTGTTGTCCAAGCAGCGATGGTATAGCTGCTATTTGAAATTCTAGAACCAAGACTTACGATAAACATAAGTTTTTCTGTCTTGTTATTGGGAAAGTTATATAATGATTCTAAGAATATTGACTTGTTAGTTTTATTTGTGTGTGTGTGTGTGTTTTGAAATTGCCTTAGTAGCCAATTGGCAACTCATGAGTTGCATTAGTTCATAGAAACAGATATTAGAAATTAAATTTGATATTTTTAATCGAAGATACTCAGTATATATGCTGTAATTACTTTCAGATTTAAGAAAACAACTGTACTTTTATGTGTCTAGTCCTGTATATTTTTACTTAAGAGTAGGAGTTCTACTTACTTTGTGGATCTGCAAAGAGAGAAGAGTTAGAATAATCCCTGAAGATCAGGGTGGTGATAAAAACCTTAAGGTGGCATTGCCCATAGGATTTTAGAGCTTGAAAGGAACTGGGCCATTTTCTGCAACAAAATATTTCATGTGAACACTCTAGTATGCCAGTGAAATAAATATCATTTTCCCCATCAAATTACTGGTCTCTACTTTTCCTGGTACTGGGGTTTGAACCTGGGACTTCACAGGTGCTTGACGCTCTCTGTGCTGGCCTAATTATTTTTCTTGTTATTTTGAAAAATTTCAAACCTTATGAAAAATGTAAAAGATAGTATAATATATACTTTTGCTCTTGATTCATTAGTTGCAAAGTTTAGCTATGCTTGTTTTTGTTTCTCTTCTCACTCACACATATTTCCCCCAAGTTAGATAAAAGGAATTTGTTGACATTATTGCTTCATTCCAAAACACCTTAGTCTTTTCCTTATAAAAATGAAGACATTCTCCTATGTTACCAGAATACTTTAATCATGCTCAAGACATTTATGTTAATATTATCTGAAATGCAGCTTGTTTTCAAGTGTTGTCTAATACCCTTATAGCTTTTATAAAAATGTCAATTTTGTTTTATCAGTGATGAGCCAAAATATAAGTATATTCAAAGAATCTTTAAAATACACACACACACACACACCTCAATTTACTTTTACTTTTGTTAGAATTTATCTTTCTTCGTGCTTGTATAATCCTGTAAGTAGGCATTTTTCTATATTGCTTTCAATGTGGTGATGACTCATTTTGGTAATTCAAAAGCATACCATTAATTATCTTTGTTTTTGTAAGACATTAGAAGACATCTCTTATGCTGAAAATGAATATTAAAGTCCACTAGAGACTTAATAATGTAACTCTATCCAAAGAGTCACAGTGCTATTATCATCTGTTTCTATATTTGTATGCTTCTGTTGTCAGAAAGTTGTGTCTTTTGTCACTAAGGTATATTTGCTTGTTTTCAGGAGAATTAGCGATGAAAAAAACTTTCCTCTTGATGGTAAACGGCAGCGTTTCCATTCACCCCACCAAGAGCCAACTATAATTAACCAGATAGTGCCTTTATCAGGTGACCGAAGATATTCCATGCCGCCATTGTTTCACACACACTATGTACCAGATATAGTAAGATGTGTTCCACCTCTTCGAGAAATTCCACTATTAGAACCTAGAGAAATCACACTGCCTGAGGCCAAAGATAAGGTAATTATAATTCAGAATTTCAGATTGCCTTTTGGAAATTTCATATAAAGAATATACTAAAAGGATAAGGAAAACCTAATTTCTGCATTCAGAATGTGTCCTTTTTTTTTTGAATGTTTAAAGTTCTTTTAAAATATCACTGATTTTTTTTCCTGTCATAAGTACATCTATCATGACCAGCTTTTGCTGACTTACAAAGCCTAAAATATTTGATTTTTTTAATTGTAGAGAATTCTCTTATAACTGTTCTTGCTCAAATTCATTAGTAGTTAATTTTTAGTGGTCGTTATTTTTTTGAGATAGTCTCTACATATCTCTGGCTATCCTGTACCTCATTCTGTAGACCAGGGTGACCCAGAACTCAGGGAGAAAGTTCACAAAGTTGTGGAAATCTATTTCTAAAACATAGTCAACACTCCCAAGAGAGTTTGTACCTCAACAGCATTTACTTTCCTTCTTGCTTCCCGTAGGTAGAATACTTTGACCTATGGCCAAAAATATCAGCCTGATGGACTTTTAGGTTTTTAATTCTGGCAATTGTGAATAATGGTGCTGTTTAAGTGTCTCACGTACAACATTTTGCATGGATATATGTTTTTACTCTCTTGATACATAAACATAAGTGAAATTGTTTGGAAATATGGTAATATATGCTTAACCTTTTAGGAACTGCCAAAATGTTCTGGAAAATAGATATTATATGTATACTGATGTTCTACTCTCATTACATTCCTGTCAATACTTGTGACATTTATTGGTGATTCTCTCTTCAGTTCCTTGCAGTACTAGAGATGGAACCCAGGGCTTTTAACAGGCTAAGCAAATACTGAACTACTGTTGAGGTTCACCCTTACCTTTTCTCTTTTTATTGGAGCCATTCTGGTATGAGAACTGTTTCTGTTTTCATTCCCTAATGTCATTTGCCTGTTGGACATTTGTATGTCTTTTGGAGAGAGATCCATTCAGATTCTTTGTCCAGATTTTAGTAGGTTACTTGTCTTCTGATTGCTGAATTATAAGAGTTATTTTATATATTCTTATTATTAGCCTTTATAGATAGATGATTTGCAAATGTTTCGTCCTTTCTGTGATTTTTATTTTTAGATTTTTTTGTTGATGCCCCCTCTAAAGCATAAAAACTTTTAATTTTGATGTATTCCAGTTAGTTTTTCTTTGGTTGCTTGTGCTATTAGTGTTGCATCTCAGAAACCACTTCTCAGTACAGTGTCTTGAGTATTGATACCTATGTGTTAAAGGATTAGTTTACTTACTTATTTTGAGACAGGGCCTCATTATACAGCTCTGGCTGACCTGAAACTTGATATGTAGACTAAGCTATTCTTGAACTCACATTTTTGGTTGTGAGCCTAGTCTTTAACGACTGAGCCATCTCCAGCCCTCTTGAACTCACATAAACCTCCTGAGTGCTAGAATGTATTCTAAGAATTTTTACTTTTAGTTCTTACATTTAGGACTTTGATCCATTTTTAATTAATTGATGTATATGGTGGGAAGTAGGCTCCAGCTATGTTCTCCTACTGTTGGTTCATTTGTCCCAGGATTTTTATAAAAAAAAATTATCCCTTCTCTGCCAACATTTTCCTTAGGCACAATTAGACATTATCAATGGGAAACAGGAGAAAGCAAAGCAGAATTAGAAAAACATCGTGGGGTGCTCCGGTGCTTTTTCTTCTTCATTCCTCTGCTCCTTCTTTGCTTTCCGAGTTTAACCCCTATGTCCTGATGTGAAAGCCAATGAGGTGAATTCTCTGAATAGACATATAAATAATTACTATATATGGGTTTTAATGTATGTGTGCTAGGAGGACATTTAAAATGGGTTTATTACTCAGACGTGGAAATACATTTTTGTATATATTTATGTTTGTAGTTAACTAGTAGAGCTAACCAAAGAACTGATTTTTACATATAGCTTAGGCATATGTTGATTCTATAAATTTAATAATGTATAATTAATATTCATAATAAGCATCTGATAAGATATGATTCCATATCTCTCTTTGCTTAGTCATATAGAAACATTTCTCCTAAATGTACTGTCTTTGGAATTAAGGCATTTCCCCCAGAAAAGTAAAAATAGATTTTGTAGTTGAACTAGTTTTTTCGAGCGATATTTATTTCTTCTTATTGTAAGAGAAAGAAAGAAAGTGCTTTTGTTTGTTCTTTTAAGTGAACGCTTTATTTTTGGAGACAGGATCTCACTGTGTAGCTCAGCCTGACTTTGAACTCATGATCTTCTTGGTTCTACTTTCTGAAAGCTCATATTACAGATGTGTGCCACCATGCCTGGCTTAAATGCTGTCTTTTCAAGAAGACTACTATTCATTGATATGCTTGCTCTTTAGACATTTATGCATGTTATATTATTTACTGTTTCAACAACCTAGTGGCATATAGCTATGGTCTTAAATTAAGGTAAATAAGTTGCTCAAAGTCATGTCTACCAAGCAAGATTTAACAACTGTCTCTGAAAATACAAAGAGGGGGAATTTAATGTACTAAAGTCTAGGATAGAGAGACCACACTGTGAGGCCTGGCTTTAACATCACATGATCTGTGATGATAAGAACTAACAATTTTACTGAGTGTCTGTTGCTGCCAAGAATGTGATCGACAATTACTGTACTATAAACTCTAAGTATATAGTGAACACAATATCTGATGTGAGATAAATAGGTAGTGATTTGGGCCCTTGAATGCATGGTCCAATGGCATTGAAAGTGTTTGAATAACTGAAATAACATAATGACCTGTATTTTGGGGAAAGGATAGGTTTTTGCAGAACAGAGTTGTTTGGTTTGGAATGAGGTGGCCTTGAAAGTGGACAGTCATTTTAAAGGTTACTAATGTATCTGCATTAAGTTGTGACAGATGATAGTACAAATTGTCTGTGAAATAGTATATAAGGAAGATGGGTAGATAGGGTTTTGCTTTGTGGCTCAGGTTGATCGCAAATTCACAATCCTCCAGCCTCAGTTTCCCAAGTGCTAGGATTATAAGTGTGTACTATTATGGCCCACATGTAATGGATTTCATTTAAATATTGTTGCAATTTCCTTATTTTGTGATACAATGGATATTTAGTACCTATTATGATGTCTGGGATTGTTCTACTTCAGTTGACAAACTGTTCTGAGTCTTTCTCTGTCCCTCCAAATCATGACATAGAGACGTATTAATTATGAGAGCTTGGGTGATGGCTTAGGCTTGTTCCTAACTAAATCTTACAGCTTAAATTAACACATATTTTTATTAATCTATCTTCTACCATATGGCTTTTACCTCTATCTCATTTTGTGTGTCCAACTCAATCTGTGTCTGTTTGGCTTCTCCGACCTTTTTCCTAACATTCTCTCTGTCCTGGAAATCCTGTCTGGATATTGGCCATTTAGCTTTTTATTAAACCAGTCATAGTGACATATCTTCACACAGTGTAAAGGAATATTCCATAACAACAAATGTTTTCTTTCTCTAAAGGACCAGGTAGTAAATATTTTAGGTGTTCAAGTTATTTGAGTTATTGGCTCTTTTTTTTCTCCACTTAATAAAATGTGAAAATATTCAATATTTACATAACAGACTAGAAGTTGTATTTGTCTTGTGGGTCCTAGATTGTCTATCCTTCTGGGTGAATAAAATAAAGTATAACCTTTACATGACATTTAATTTTTACATTAATCATTTTTCTTGAATTTATTACAAACTTGGGTTCATATATCTTCTTTTTTCTGGCAAATAGTATACTTTGTATGTAAAGTGTAAACAATGGTGTTATTAAACTTCCAAGTATTAATTTAATCATTCCAACATTATATGACCATAATGTACCAACATATGACCAATCGTATGGCCAATTTTAATTTAATGCATACCTCCCTTCTTTTTGGTTTGGATCAGTTTCCAGTTGTTCAGTATACCTCATGAATATATGCGTATTTCTGTTTTTTTTTTCTTTTTGGGGGGGCAATGCAACTGTATCTCTGTTAATTTAGCTTCTTTTTCTCCTCCTATTTTTGATTTCCAAATACAACCCATTTTCTTAATTTTTACAAAGAAGGCTTCTGACTGTTCTAATTATCTTGACTCTACATACCTGTTTCAGGAGAACTGATGTTTAACCAATAGTTTTCTGATCTGTTAACATGGTATGTCTATTATTTTTGTTTTGAGATAGGGTCTTGCTCTATAGACGATATAGACCTTAGACTCATACCAGTCCTGCCTTCACCTCCCTCATGCTGGGTTTACTGGCATGAACATACCAGACTTACCTCTTCATATTTAGATGTCTCTTATATCAGTATTTTTGTAAATTTCAGCCTATAAATCCTGCATAGCTTTTGGAAAATACACTTGTCAGTAGTGTTATACAGTTTGCTGTTGTCATCAGTTTTTTCAGAATGAATTTCTCTTGTTAAATTTAAAAGACTGGATGGTGGCGGCACATATCTGTAATCCCAGCACTCAGGAGGCAGAGGCAGGCGGATCTCTGAGTTCGAGACCAGCCTGGTCTACAAGAGCTAGTTCCAGGACAGCCTCCAAAGACACAGAGAAACCCTGTCTTGAACCACCCAAAAGTTAAAAGTTAAAGTGCGAAAGGGCCTTTTAAAACATGTTAAAATGCCCTCATGTCTCCATGGAAATGTGCTTCATCTTAGCAGGGTTTCTCTATTAATTCTTTTCTTACAAAACATTATGGGAATTATTTCATAACTTTTCAGGTATTTTCCTAAGCCTTTTTTGTTTTGTTTTGGTTTTATTCCTTTTTGAAATTCATTCTTTTTGAGATTTTAGTTCTTTTTTCTTCTTCTGTTATTTGTGTTTGAGTGAGACTGCTCCTTTATTTGTGCTCCTTTTAGATGGGGCAGACTAGGCAGGCTAACCTCATGACTCTAGGTCTCCTCTTCTGCTTTACTTCTTACCCGAGTTTTGTCTAGACCAAGAGTTTTACTTTCGCGTTATTGATGCTTTTAGATCAAACATTGCCAGAGGGGCAGTTACCTGTGTCTTGTAAGATGATTAGCTGTATCCCTGGTCCTTCAGTGTCAGTTACATACTCTATTCCTGTTATGGTACCCAAAATAGTCAGAGTCATTCTAGACCTTTCCTTTGCCTCTCACAGCCCTGCCTTGTTTAAATTTCAGGGCCTGACAGTTTTTGTTGGTGTGTTTGTTTGTTTGTTTTAGACAGCAGTTTCCTTTATGTTTGATGTCTCTGAACTTTTAGTGTTCTTCTGTGTTTGCTTATAAAATTGTATACTGGTCTACATCAAGAAGGAACCCTCAGTTTGGAGGGAAAGAAGCGAAAGGTAGTATCTAGAGACTGTTGTGTCTGATTGTAGTGCTCTCCTAAAATGCTTTTTTCCTTTCCTCTTACTGCTTTGATACTGTGCCATTTCGGTATTAGTGTTTGTCCCTAACTGGTTAGATTTGGGGTTCATGAAGAATACTGAGTCAGTTGTGTTGTTTTTGTTGTCAGTGTTTGGTTTTGGTTTAGTTTGATAGGTTCTATTCTCATAGTTGCTGTTTCTCTTTTTGTGGGGCAAGTAATTACAGATTTTTTTTTTTAAATTGAGCCTGTTTTGTGATTATCAACAGCTCTTGAACCTTCTTAAATATTCTGAATATGGTTTAAAATATAACATCTTAAATGATGAGTGAGACTTTTGTCTGGTCTATAGACTTTGGGGAGGCTTAAGGAAAAACTGAAAATACAAAAGAGATTGAAGAATGGATGAAAGTGTATGTGCTCCTGAGGTGAACAGCAAGCTTGGACAAAAAGATATTGGTAGAGGGCCATAGCAAAAGGACACTGTGTCTTAACAGAAGGAAAGAGGTGAGATTTCCGTCAGGACTGTTACTTTATATGTTATAGCAAGATGAGGAATTGTATCTGGTATTTTTAATTTTCTTAGTTTTTTTCCCCCTCTTTCTTTTTCTTTTTTGAGACAGGATCTCATGTAGCTTAGGCTGTCCTGGAACCCCCTATGAAGCCAAGGATGGCCTTGAACTCCTGATCCTCCTACCTCCGTCCTCTTGAGTGCTGGGATTTGCAGATGTGCACCACTCCGTTTGGCTTTTCTTAGAAAAGTTTTAATATGATCTTATCTGCAAGAGAAAGTAAGTTTAGGGGCCTTGAAGAAGGCAGTAAGCATTTTGGAATGGAATAGTGAAAAATGGGAACATTATTTAAACAGAAGAGTAAATAAAGGCTGGGAGTGATGCTAAGGACACTAAGCTAGGCTAACCCTTACACCAAATATTTGGAAGACTCAACTTTCCAAAAAGCTTTTCAGTTTTGTCTGTTAGTACCTTAGGTTTAGTTTTAGAGGGAAAGTAGTGTTTCCATTGCCTTCGGGTGAGGATTTTGTAGCACAGACATTAGAGCCTGCGGGATAAAGTTTCTAAGATGTGATGAAAGAGAATGATTTGGGAGATGCATTCTGGGATAGTAGGTACTGATGGGTTGGAAGAAAAGGGAGCAGATACATTAGAGGTGGGGTGATAAGACAGTGAGTTGAACAGGAAATTAAAGCTGAAGTAGTATATCAGAATTTAAAATATCAGGGCTCACAGCCATGAGAGTACAGCAATGAAAAACAGTGAAAGAATTTCAAAAGAGTATATTGTGAAAAGTGTGGCTTACTACAGATAAAGTTATCCTTTATCTTATCATCCTGTGGTAGCGGTGAGAGTTGGGGTAGAGGGAAATGTTAGCTACAACATTAATCTAAACAAGAGCGATCAGCAGATGGCAACCTCATATGAAGAAGCCAGGGTTCAGAGAAAGTTATAATAATGGACTGGAGGGTGGTTTGTGTGAATACAGAAAACAGGAACTCTCTAAAACCTGTTGTGTGTGGCACTCATCAGTAAGACCACTAGAGGTAAACTTCTTGAAAGAGACCTAGAGTAAATATTTGAGAATAAGTCATGTTTCTATGGTTTCTGCTTCATATTTATTTTGCATATTCTTATTCACTTGTGATTGTGACTCTTAGAAGTATAAAACTTATTCACAGTCCACATGAAAGCACAGTGACAAAAGGGTTTTAATTTGCTGAGCTGTAATTATATGGATTACCTGACTATTTTTCTGTCATTTAAGTGTATTTTATTTTTTTTAATTTATGTATAGTTTCTCAAGTCATTCTTTGTGTGTAAGTAACAATAGCTTTGTTTTGTTTTTGTTTTCTTTTGTGGTGCATTCAAGTTGAGTCAGCAGATACTAGAGTTGTTTGAAACTTGTCAGCAGCAGATGAGTGACTTGAAGAAGAAAGAACTCTGTAGAGCCCAGCTGCAGAGAGAGATCCAGCTGCTATTCCCACGTACGTCTGCCTACTGTGCATGCTTTTCCTGGCTGTACATTCCAGTTTACAGATGCACTGTTAGTTTCTTACTGCTTTCTTCTGCTCCTCTAGAAAGCAGACTTTTCTTAGTTGGATCATCTTTAAATGGATTTGGTGCCCGGAGCAGTGATGGCGATTTATGCTTAGTTGTTAAAGAAGAACCAGTAAGTAATGAGACATTATTCCAAACCCATTCTCATGCTGTGTCAATTAAGGAATAGAACCTGAGTGATTGTAATTAATTATTTGAATTTTCTGTTTCCTCTAGTTCCACATCGCTGCCCCCCACACGCAGACACCAGCATGGTATACTTAAGAGCAGCTCTAGTAGTCCTGAGCTGTTGAAGTGAGCTAGCTTTGAAGTGTGTGGTTTTTAGTGTTTCTTCTAACTATGAAATGTAACTAGGTGGCTTGAGTGTTTACAGGGTGCAGTACAGCAAAGCATATAGCAGTATTCTTGATATATTTTATTCAGTATGAATTCTAAGTATTCAGTAAACTTACTTAATGCAGCCTTTTGTAGTTGTTGAGGTCTCTTAAAACTACCAAACTTTTTGATTAAATTGGGTGTAATTTTAATATTTTATGCTTTGCTTTATAGGCTTAAAAATGCAAAACAAGCCAGGCATGTTGGGGCACGATTTTTTTAGCGCAAGCACTTGGGAGGCAGAAACAGGTTGATCTCTGTGATTTCAAGACCAGCCTGGTCTACAAAGTTTTAAAACAACCTGGGCTACAAAGAAAAACCCTTGTCTCAAAAAACCAAAACAAACAAACAAAAAAAGGCAAAACAAAATCTTTTAAATTATAATAATAATTTTATTCTCCTGGTTGTTGTAAAAGAGAAACAGGTTTATTCCAGGAAAGGATTTTCTGTGTTTTGAGATAATGTAAAGAAAAGAAAAGGGAAAAGAAACAAGTAGACCAAAGAACCCTTTAAATGTCAGTGTAATGGATATTGCAAGCCTTGGCAACTACACTGCATGCAGTCATGTTTACTAGCTCTATGGTCTTTAATATCACATGCGTAAGCCATGTTGCCACAGCTTACACTCAGATTGACTCTACATAATTCATAAGCACTTCTTCTTGATAAAGAAATAAAATGTTGCTAATTTTTTAAAATTTTGTTGGAGGAGACTTTTGTGTTTTTTTTTAACACCATGTATACGAAAGAGAAAAATGACATTGTTGTTTTCAGGTAAGATTATTTGATTCTGAAATGTGGATCTGAAAGATTGCACTGAGAATTGACTTTTTCTGTAGTGTATATTTCTAAAAATTTGAAAGAAAAATATGTTTTGTGTTTTTGCTGTTTTGTTACTTTAAAAAAAAATCAAACACTAACCTAAGAAAAAAATAATGAAAAAACACCTTAACTTTTCAGTGTTTTTTTCAGGTCAATCAGAAGACTGAAGCACGCCATATACTCACCTTAGTCTATAAGCACTTCTGTACTAGACTGTGTAAGTCTCACATGCCTCTGACATAGCTAGTATTTCAAATGTTGGTCACTTAACTTTTCTGGTAAGAATCACTTATTTTCTGATGAGAATAGTTTTAATGTGGATTGTTTTCTTCTAACTAAATTATTTTGAACTTCTTTTTAAGATAGGATCTTGCTATATATAAACATATGTAGCCAAGACTGGCCTTGAACTTGTGATCCTCGTGCCTCTGCTTCCTGAGTTCTGGAATGATGGGTGTGTTACCATCATACCCATCTTCGCTTCGGTTTTAGTTTCTTTTAACTTTTGGTTAAAAAGCATGATTTAGCAAATTATTATTGAACTTACTTGAAAAATATTCTATTGAATACATTTTGAGATTTGAAGGTATATAAGTTTCCCTTCTTTCTCTCTCAAAAGGCCTTTAGGAAAATAGGCATGAATGAACAGCTAGCTGTAAGGCAAGTATCTTATTTGAGAATCAAAGCATGATACATGTAGTCTTATAGGTGTAAGAGTTCCAACTCTTTGGGGAAAGGTATCCTATCAGTTGAAAGTTACGGAATACCAGAAAGTCCACTGCTTATTGGAAAGAACACAGGAGAGTAGCTACCTTTTCTTGGAGAGAAGCAGCAGAGATCTGAGTGGGAGACAGGCTTTATATAGGGTTTCTTGAGCAAGTCACATGTTTCTTTTAAGATTACCTATCTGTAGTTTTTTAACTACCAACCCCATTGTTAAAAATTTTAAGTTAAATATTTTAATCATATCCAATATACTTGCAAATCATGAGGTACAGAGCATTTAAACAGTAGTTTTACAAATACAGAGATAAGAGTTATATTTTAATGAAATTTTTAGAAAGTTAAACCAAAACCAAGAGTGTGACATGAGTAGCATTGGCCCCATTTGGGAATAGTCTGTCCCTGTGTTTTGTTTTGTTCTGCTTTCTCTGTCACAGTCAGGTGGCTTGCCTGATGCAGTAGGGATTTTAGAGGAAGCCTGTAAACGCGCATGCTTGAGTCTAGAGGCGAGGCATGGCTTAATGTAAAAACATGAGTACTCGATCAGATCTCTAGCACCCATGTAAAAATGCTGGGTGTGGTAGTTTATGTGTATAACCCAGCACTAAGGGCCAGGGGTGGGCCAGAGATGGGGATCCTAGCTCTGACCATCCATTCTACCCAGTAATTGAGTATTGGGTTCATTGAGGTTATCTCAAAAATAAGTTGGAGAAAGAGGAAGATACTGGATTTTGACCTCTGGACACATGAACTTACATGCATGTTTACTTTATATATATGGAGGAAAACATGAAACTTTCCCTTCTACCAAAAACTCTAACAAAGGTATTGTCTTTTCCTATAGTTAAACATTAGAATATTGCTCCCGTGATAAAGTTTTACAGATTTTTAAAAAAATGATTTCTCTTTTGTTTGTAATTATGTGCCTGTGTGTGAGCATGTGCACAGAGCAGGTGCTGTGGAGACCAGAAAAGGGTGTTGGATCCTCTGGAGCTATAGTTGCAGACTGTTAGGAGCTGCCTTCTATGGGGGGGGTGTCTGAACTCAATTCCTTTGGAAGAGTAGTATGTGCTCTTAACCGCCGAGCTATCTTTCTAGCTTTAATTCTTTCTATAAGTTCCTAATTTTCTGCAGTTTCTATAATACATTTTTATACCTTTGATGAAACTAAAAATACGTGATTTGTCTTACCAAGTTGCAAGCCTTGCATATTACAACAGATTTCTATGGCTACTATTTCTTACTGAGTCATACCAGAATTTAGCTATTTCCTTACTTTTAGCTATTTTTTCACTCAAATGTTCTAATAAATATCTTTATAGCTACTATTATATACTAGATTATACTTTTGAAAGAAGAAACCTTAAAGCCTTTTAAATAGTGTAGACTTGACCTTTAGAGGGACTTGACATCTGTCTGTCTTTCCTTCTCCCCTCCTTTTCCTTCCCTTCACTTTGCCCTTCCTTCCTCCCCTCCCTCTCCCTTATTCTTGACTTTCTTTTTCAAGGACAGCATGTTTTAAGTTGGTTTATTTTAAAACTGTACATTAGAATATTGTGAGTGGGAAAAAACATTGGTAGATGTTCACATGATCTTTTCTCCTTCAGCTGGCTACATTGAAAGACCTCAGCTGATTCGTGCAAAAGTGCCAATTGTGAAGTTCAGGGATAAAGTCAGGTAAATAATTATCAATCCCTCTTTTTCAGTGCTTTAGATTAACCTTGGATAGTCATCTAGTGTGGAGAGCCAAGAAATCAGGTTTATACCACAGTAGCTACAGTTTATAGAACAGTAGCTTATCTTCAAGGTTTTACAAAATTTTCTTTCCCTTTTTTTTTTTTTTTTTGAGACAGTCTCATGAATTAGGCAGGCTGTGAATTTGTTGTATAGCTGGGACAGCTCTGAACTTTGGATTCTTCTGCTTACTCTTCATGAGTGCTGGGATTGTACTTGGATGCCAAAACACCCATTGTCTTTTAAATTACTGTTTTTACATAATCTAGGCAGTCTTCATTCTTAACTAGCTATATCTACTCTGCTTGATTTTTGAGTATTTGGGACTATTCAATATAAAAAGTATTTGGGTTTTAAAATGGTCTTCTTGTAGTCCAGCTTGATGGCACACACTTAACTCGGAGTTAGAGCCCAGCTTGGTCTATACCAGTGGTCCTCAACCTTTTTAGTGCTGTGATCCTTTAATATAGTTCCTCTTGATGTGGCAAGCCCCAATGATAAATTTTTTTTGTTGCTACTTCATAACTGCAGTTTTGCTACTGTATGAATCATAATATAAATATCTTATATGCAGATGGTCTTAGATCATCACAAAGGGTTTGTGACTTACAGGTTGAGAACCACTGGTATGTACAATGAGATCCAGGCCAAACAGGGTTATATAGTGAGGGCCTTGTTTAAAATTGAAAGATTTCACGTCTTTGGGACAAATAATTCTTTCCCCAAAGCATATCTTCTTTGATAAAATTCAGTGTGTATTTATATCTAAAGGGTTTGTTCTAACTTTAAGTGTCACCAAACAAATTTTATTTCAGTTAGAGAAAGATACAGATTACTGGGAATAATATACATAAAAGCTGTAAAAACACTTATTCAATTTCAAAATTTTAGTTTTTTCTTTATATTCTCCTAGCCTGGGTTCTAATTTCTTAAGATTATTGTATTAGAATGCCTTACAAATATTTATAGATAAGAATATAAATGGTACAATCAAGTGTTATAATCATGGACCTGGGAGTTGAAGACTGAATGGATAAGTTTAAGTACAGTGTGGGCTACTACTTACTGAGTATCTGTCTCAGAACAAATGAACATGCAAGCAGAAGAAAAGTTAAGTGTGGATTGATATTTGGTTTGTTGAAAAGATTTACAAACTTTTATAAACATCGGATTATGATAAAGCATGCTTACTTTTCTTGCTGTTTATAGTGGTAATACTAAAATTATATGCATGTGAATATACAGAATCGAGCTTATTTATGGATTTTACATGCAAGAATTGTTTTCTTAAGTTTTTTTCCTTCTCGTTCTATATTGTTCAGGATGTGGCAAAAATTGGGGCTAGTTTAATAATAAGGTGACATTCTGCCTTCTTGTTTAGCTTTCTCATACTGCAGACAAAATGCCCTTTGTCATAGTCTAGTTAGTACTTTTTCACTGTTTGCAGTGGTCTTAAACTTAGTTTTCTAGTAGTTCATGAGAAACCTGTGATATGTCCTGTGGAGGAAGCATGATAAATGGATATTCACTTCATATTTTTGGAAAATTATTTTCCTGCTAGTGCTGGAGAATGTTTGCATAGGGAGCTAGGTGTGTAATCTACTAAGTAAGTAATCTACTGCTGACATGTTTCTTTAGCCCCTTTTCAAAAGACTAAATTCTACAGGTCTCTCTACCTACATGGTTTTGTTGAGTTAGGCAGAAGGTATATAAATTGTCTTTGGTGTTCCATACGCAAACAAAGATTGTAATTGTCAGCATAAGTTTCCCAAAGCCAGCTGCTTATTATATCTCAGCAGCACTAACACCACTATCTACTACTGTGAATAGAAATGAAGGAATGCTGGTAAAATTCTTTTTTGCTTCCCTCCAAAGGAAAAACATAAGTTCCGGTTTTCTAATAACATAGAATGGAATTATTTTAGTTAATTAATTCATGGACTTTTTTTTGGAGATTTTTAAGTTTTTTGGGATAAGATCTCGCATATGGCTCAGACTGATCTCAGATTTTTAATTCTGCCTTGGCTTCCCAAGTGTTAGGTCAGAGGCCTGCATTATTTTTGATAATAGTTTTGGGGGCATTTATTTAGTGTATGTGTATGTGTAGTATGCAGGCATGTGTAGTATACTATGGTATGTTTGCAAAGCATACTTCTCTGTTTTCTCCTGTCATGTGGGTCTTAGGGATTGAACTTAAGTTGTCAGTCTTGGTGGTGAACAGCACCTTTACTTGCTGATCATCTTGCTACCCTTTTAGTAGTCTTCTCATAGAAAAATGTAGTATTCAAAGAAATTAGACCCAATAGAAGATGAGCATAAATGGAGCTAACTTATATAAAGTATTTCTTCCTTGTTTGTAGATTCTAATAATTGCCCTGTTTTCTAAGTTGCGAGTTGGGTATCTTTGCATCAAAGAAACATGCCATTGGTGATGTTTTGAATATTGCATCACTACATCATCGGCCCCTGCATTTGACATAGAATTTTCTAGCCATTTTAGAGGGAATATGATGTATGGATACAGCTTTTTTTTGTTTTGTTTTGTTTTTTTGTTTTTTTTTTTTGTTTTTACGAGACAGGGTTTCTCTGTATTGTTTAGGAGGCTATCGGTCCAGCCCGGCCTCGAACTCACAGAGATCCGCCTGCCTCTGCCTCCCGAGTGCTGGGATTAAAGGCGTGCGCCACCACCGCCCGGCTACAGCTTTTTTTTTTAAACTTGCTTTTGTATTTGGCTTTTTGTTTGTATTGTTTGGCATACTTGTGCTTTGAGAAGATATTCCTTACACAAGAATATTTTGGTCATGTGATTTTGTTTATCTAGAAAACATTACAAGATTTAAAACTTTATTTGGAGTAATTAGAAACATCAGTGTATTATGGCTCTTTTAAATAGTAATCCTAGTTTATATTTTTAATATATGCCAAACAACTTTAAATGATACACTATATATTTTTCCTTCTTAATGATTTGTTTTAAAAACACAGTCTATTGGGCTGGAGAGATGGTTCAGAAGTTAAGAGCACTGGCTGTTGTGCTAGAGGTCCTGAGTTCAATTCCCAGCAATCATATGGTGGTTCACAACTATCTGTAGTGGCATCTGATGCCTTCTGGCATGAAGGCATACATGCAGACATAGCACATTAAATAAATAAATAAGTAGATAGATAGGTAGATAGGTAGATAGATAGATAGATAGATAGATAGATAGATAGATAGATAGATATAAAGAACAAAACAAAACACAGTCTATGGCTTTCAGTCCATGTTTCATCAGTGGATGGATTGGAATCAATTTAGTTAATAAAAAGAGTGAAATTTTTGTTCTTGTACTAAAGTGTGTTTTCCTTTTTTCTTTTAAATAGTTGTGTGGAATTTGACTTAAATGTAAACAATACCGTTGGAATTAGAAACACATTCCTTCTCAGAACGTATGCCTACCGTAAGTTTTTGTTCCTTTCTAAATAACCATCAGCTTCTGTTTTTCCTGTATTCTCTGTGGCCTTTCAACTGTGTTCACAGTAAATAGCAATACCAATTACTTTTGTATGTTATCTTAATTTTTTGGGTAATATGTTACTATAGTAAAATCATGCTGTTATAGACGAATCAAATGTTTTTAAGTGAATGATAGTTTAAAGGTAGCAAGGTAAGCTTATAAGTAACACATTGAGAGTGAGCTCTACCTTTAGTGTGGAGGGAAGCTGTGCTTCTTACTGGCATAGAATTAGGAAAGTATATACATTTTCAAAAAAATTGTGATACCATTTTTAAGTGTTTATTTTACTTGCAGTTGAAAATCGAGTTCGTCCATTAGTGCTGGTGATTAAGAAATGGGCAAATCACCATGAGATAAATGATGCCAGTCGTGGTACTTTGAGCAGCTACAGTCTTGTATTGATGGTTTTGCACTACTTACAAAGTAAGTATTATATAAGTTTTTTCACTTTTTAAAACTGAAGTTCAGATAAAACTCATTGTAGTATCTTTTTTGCTCATCTCCAGTTTACGTTATTTTAAAAATTTCTGTTTCAGGGAGGAAAATCTGGTTGCCAGGCAAAATAAATGAAAAAAAAAAGTTGTTGCCTGTGGGAGTTACTGACAGATCATTATCAGTATCATGTAGTCTTAACCAACTGTTCCAGTGTAGTGATTTAGAAAAAGCTTTATTGTGTTACTTGGTGCTTTCTGCAGTTAGATTCTGAAGGAGATAACAGTTCATATATTTTGACTTGGGGTTTTTTTTTCCCCAGAGACAACGATCAACAGATTTACATATAAAAATATTTTCTTAGTATTTATTGAAATAATAAAAGAAGGAATCTGAGCTTTCATGAATGGAATGGTTAAATTAAGTATGAAAACTATAGTCAATACCATCATGTTTTTAAGATTTGGTTTTTTGTTTTGTTTGTTTTGGGTTTTGGTTTTTTGAGACAGGGTTTCTCTGTGGCTTTGGAGGCTGTCCTGGAACTACCTCTTTGAAGACCAGGCTGGTCTCGGACTCACAGAGACCCGCCTGCCTCTGCCTCCCAAGTGCTGGGAGTAAAGGTGTGCTCCACCACCGCCCAGCTAAGATTTGTTTTTAAAGATGGATACTCTTGACATAATGTCTTATACAACATAAGGCCAATACTTTTATTTAAATAATAACTATGTTTGTATACATATTCATATGTACACAAATACTAGAAAGGTATGTGTCAAAATTTTGCCAATTTTTAGTAAAAAATTAGAACTTCTATCTAATATTTAGTGTATATTAGGTGTTTTCTATATTAAGCAAGATAGTCATCCTTCTTTGAATATAGAAATCAAAAGAATTTTTTTGAGTTATAGAAAGACTTAAAATTGTTTAAGTACATCATTTTCTAGGTGAGTCATCAGAAGGCTTGATATTGTTCTCTCCTGTTAGAGCATCTTAAGCTGATCACAAATGGTGTTTATTGCTGATCTCTCTTGGTTATGTATTGATTTGATGATGGGTTTGTTCATTTTAAATTACTTGGAATGTGATGTGTGTATAATTTTAGTCTACTCTGTATATCATTTTCACTAGTCATTTTTTCCAATTTTCTAATTGTATCATCTCTTAGATAAGTTTTTTTGGGAATGCTATTGTCTTTTGCATCACAATTCATTTTATTAAAGACTCAAAGGATTTCTTACATATACTATAAAAAACAATATAGGAATCATATCATCCAGAGTTGAATCATTTTAATTTTGGTAGTAATTAAAAAGTTATATTTACTGTCTCACATGCATGCATGATTATCTCTGATACATGCCCTGTCCCCCATTCTTACTATCACATTAAAATTTTAATTGGCTGACTGGTTTACTAAAATGTACTGTAAGCAGAGGCACTGTAAGGTGATTTGTAAAACAAATTGAAAATTCATCAAAAATTAATATGCTAGGATAATGAAATTACTTTAAGATTTGATTTCTTGCTGAAAGTGGTTCGTGTTTAATGACACTATTAGCTATTTGTAGGTAAAAACAGTTATATGATGTATTACACTATTGGCCAACTTAAGCTAAGCCACTACTGCCTCTCCATTCCAAATTATTGATGAGATAGGTAATTGTTTTCTTCGTTGTTATCTCCTTTTTTGGTAGGAAAAATGGCCTGCAACAGACTGAAGATTTTTTTTTTGAGTGGTTCAGCATTGGCATAGGGGACTAGTTTTTGTGCTGTTGATACTATATCATCTCTTTGACCTTCATATTCTTACCTATAATATAAGTTGTTGGATAAGAGATTATAATTTAACTTTCTAAGTGTTCTAATACATACTTTTTCTGCCATGAAGGAAACAGTTGTTCTGGATATTGAAAGATTAAAAAGACCATAGCATTTCTTATGTATGTTAGTAGTCAGTAATAGACTACATATGTTTGGTAAATGACTTATCAAAGCATAAGAAGAAAAACTACTGAGAATAGATTCTAAAGACAATCTAAGACTATGAGTTACTGAACTAAAATCATCAGTTGGGTAGAAATAAGAATGTCTGATCAGCTAGCATGTTTCTGGGGCAGAACTTCCCAAAATCCATTTTTAAATTGTTCTGCATTTTCAAAAAACAAATTACATACTTCCAACATAGACTGACATAGAATATGTATTACCATTCCAAAAGGGAAGAATGGGGACATAGTGAGGAAATACTGGATCAAAGCAAGGACAAACTGGACTGAAACCCAGCAGAGCAAACTCAAACCCTGTAACTTTGTTTTTGATGTCAAAGGGCCTGCATGCCTCTGCCCTTCTTTCTTTGCTGCCTGACATCCATCTCTCTCTTGGGCTGGTTACATTCATTACCTGCAGTTCTCCTTGGCAGTCTCTTGGTTCTGGTTTCTCCAGCATCTTGGGGTCTCCAATGCACTCCTGTCTTCTGGTTGCTAGCTTTGTGAGTGGTCTCTCCAGGCCTCCATGCAGGGACTCCCTGGGACAAGCTTGGGATTAGCGGCTCAACTTAACTGCTTTTACTCATGCATCCTTCCTGATTCTAAAGCCAGGACCATGTAGACAACACTGCCAAGTTTGACTGCCTGCTTGGGGTAGAGCCAGGTTCTTTTGAATCACATTTGCAGTTTTCCTTTGTTCTTAGTTTTTAGAAGCAGAAAATTCCTTAGGTCTTCCCTTTTTATAAATTGTAAGTTTAGCTGGTTGGGGTCTTCCGTTTATTCCATTCCATATCAAGCCTCTCTTTGATATTTTCATCTCTTTCAGCATAGCCTTAGCTCCAACACTAACTTTCCTGGTGCTCATTTTCCCCTTCAACTGTATATTTTGTATTTCTTGTTGCTCCAAATGTTCTTTTTCATTGTAGAACTATGTAAGAGTGATATCAGAGTCAATATTAGGCTGTTTTGAAATCTCTGCCAAAGAAATTAGTCTGTTACTTTATTATTTAGTCTCAAGAGAATTCATAGGACAAGGAACAGTAGCCACATTCTTTGCCAAAAGATAAGAGTGGTCTGGAGCCTAGTTGCTAATACTGTTCAGCTCTGAAACCTCCTGGACCTTCACCCTTAGGGTAGCTCTCAGCACTACTGTCTTCCAAGATCGTGATAGGATGGTTCATTAAGATAGTTCTACTTAGAGCATCAAATCACTTTCCTGGATCTAAGTCCCAAATCCATATTCCTCCCAAAAAACCCATATGCTCAGGTCTGTCACATCAATAGCTCACTCCCTGGTGCCAATTTCTGTCTTAGTTGCTTTTCTACTGCAGTGACAAAAGTCCATAACCAAGGTAATTTATAAAAGAAAGCAATTAATTGGACTTCTGGTTTCAGAGGGTTATAGTTCATAATAGTAAAAGCATTGCAGCAGGAACACAGACTTACAAAAGCCCACCCATGTGACATACCCCTCCAACAAGAGCATACTTCCCAATCCTTCCCAACACTTCCAACGAGTGGGGACAAACTCAAACAGAGAAGTCTTTAGAGACCATTTTCACTCAAACCACCATGATATCTTTGCTTCCAAACCTTCTAAATTCCTAATTTTTAAGGTTCTTATGTTTTTGAATGACTCTGAGCCCAGGGGTTGGTAGTTTTCCCCCCTTGTCATTCCAAATAACGATTCTAGAATGTGATAAGAAAAATTCTCTGAATTTATTGTCTTCATCTTTTGTTTTATAATAATTTTAATTTGTGAAATATTTAATGGAAGGAATTTTAAGTAAACTAATTTCTGGTAAGAGAGTCACAATTTTACTTATGAGTTATAATGAAATTTATTAGAAAGCTTTAAAAGTGTTATAAAAATATAAACATTTAGAATTTAAGTGTGTGGACTTGAGTTTATTTGGAGGGTCTTGTAGAATGATAAATGTCTGAATGCCTCTGGGGAAAGTATATGTGACTGAATGTGAATATATCATTACACGTAAGGGTGATATTTGGTAAGTAGTAAATTAATATTTTTCTTTATAATCTCATACTCTGCACATATTCATATTGCAAAATTTTATTTAACTGAAATTTTCAAGTTAGTAATGAAGCATACAAAAGGGGAATTTAAAATATATTTGTCCTATTCTATACTACATTTTAGAAATAAGTGAATTGGAGGCCATATAAGTTAGCCTTAATACTTGATTACATGCTTGTAAATGTAGTACAGAAATCATTTAAGTTTTTCACTAGGTAGCTACGTATTAGGCATTCTTTGTTACTGAGCTTCAATTATATATAAATCTTATTCTTAATTACAAACTTTATTGTGTACTACTGTATTTGCTTGCTAATATGAAAGATATCTTGGAATTAAAGCACTTGTGTTTTATCATACTCCACATAATTTAGAGTTATATTGTGAATAACAAGTATCTTGTCTTTTACATTACATTTATAATGATGTGAGATTATTATAGTTTATGCATTTATTGAGATTAGGCTTACTTTAAAAAAAACATTGAATCGTGAATTTCCTGAAGATGTTGCTCTATTGGTAGAGAGTTTTCCTAGCATGCATGAAGCCATAGGTTTTATTCCCAGCACTACAGAACAGGGAGACATGTTGGCGTACTTCTGTGATTGTAGCTCTTGGGAGGTGGAGGTCTGAAGACCCAAAATTCAAGGTCATCTTCAGTTAAATAGTGAGTTTGAGACCCAGCTGATTTTTGTGAGGCCTTGCCTAAAAGGAAGAAAAGAAATTTAATTTTAAATGAGAGCAACAGGATGGTTCACTTATGATATAATTTGTATTTTTAGGATGACTGTGCAAATCTCCTGGTTTAGATTTCTAATCTTTATTGAGGTGTTCTTTAAGCTATGTTATGAAGTTGAAGGTGACTTCAGTTATGATTTTTTAAATAGCTCGATTTTCTTTTCATAATTTTAGTATTGCTTATTAATAGAAATTAAATGATGAAGGGACAGTAATGATGACAGTTTTCTCTAATGATACAGGAACATTGAATTGATGGTAGTTAATCTTAATGTCCATTCAAAATCTGTAGAAGGATCTGTCTTGCTTATTTTATTTGTGTTTGATGTTTAATTGAATGACTTGTGTATCATTATTGGTATACTTCTACTCTTAAACTTTGTAGGAAACATTGATTTACATAGGAAGATACGTAGTTCATTTAACAAATCCTTAGATTGTCAATTTAAATGAATTTAAAATGTTAGGAACTATATTTCATGAAATACGTGAAAATTTGAATTTTAGTATCAGCCCTTGTGGTCTCATAACTGGGGTGTAGCTGACAACATTTGCATTGTAATATGAACCATGTGAATCACAGAAGCTTTAAACTTTTTCTTTTTATAGCCCTACCTGAACCCATCCTTCCATCCCTCCAAAAAATTTACCCAGTAAGTGTTTCTTATAAATTTATTATAACACATATTATGTCAATTTTATATAAAATTTTTATATACAGTATTAATGTGAATATAGAAGTTATAAAGCTAAATATATAACATTTTATATATAGACTGAAGCATTGGCCTCTAGAACATTTAAATATTTTGTTCACTTTTTCAGAAAGTTCTGGTACTTTTTGGTCATTAATACATAATCTGGTCAGTTATGTTGATGTTTGAATTTTTCTTGCATGATATGCATGATTATCACTAATATGGATCCCATATACTCAGTTGGTAAAGACCCATTTGGCCTTACTCTAGTTTTCTTTATACTATTTTATATAATTTTACAGCATTTGTGTTAGTTTTTCAGAAAAATTTCATCTTAGTGTGTTTGTGTTTTGAAAAGAGGGAAAAATTAAGTTGAGCAATTGGATAATCCTTTCACATTTCACATCATTTGTTAAGCAGTACACCAAAAGGTAACAGTAGTACACTGTTGTGTTTGTGTGATGCTAAGATTTCTGATGAAATTAAAAGAAAATGAAGTGTGCGTCGTAACAGAAATTTACGTTTGTCTCAATTTGGTTGAGACAAACCCAGATGGAGTAATGTCCGTAGTTATAATTTATAGGCGTTTTGGTGCTTTTTCATTGTTCTCATATTCTTTCTCCACAATTTTTCTTTACTCTGTTGTCAACATTGTTCATAATTTGCTTTAAAACAATAGTTAAGCTGCTTCTTTAGAAAGTTTGGTCAACCTTCTAAAACTAAATACAAAATATACAAAACTATAAACAAAATATGTTGGCCTGTTTCATACATGTTAGTTTTATGCATTCATAGACATGCATATATATGTATATATATATAATTCATGCATAAACGATGTTTTAAAAAGCTTAATGGGTATATTAAAAAGGAGAATAGACTTGCAGCTTGTATGCTGGGTTTTCAAAGAAGTTAATCACTGTTGCACATAAATTACAACAAGTATGCTTGACATATAACATCAGTTTAATTGGATCTGTGATAAGTGAGGTAAACTGACCCTTATATTTCAGTATTAGTTGTTGCGATGCACAAATGTGACGTGTGCCTGATAAAGGTTTCACAAGTAGTATAATAGGACCTCCCAGTATCCTGTGGATCATCTGCTAGAACAAAGTATGATAAGAACCTCTGGCCGTTCTCTTTTTTAAGACCAATTTCTGCTCTGGTGAAGAATTATTCTCATGGGCTTTTAATGTAGTTACGAATCAGTGTTGATGCTCTTAAATATAAAAAATGAAAATGTCAAGTATAGAACGAAAAGTAGCTTATTTAACTTTTTGTCATTCTTTTTAAAATAGTATCAATAGTTCTTATTTTAATATACTTTAGGGAATATACAAATCTGAGCATTCCCACCATTTCTGGGGGACAGCAAGAAACTCCTATTACATAAATTTAATGTTTAGTGAACAGCAGTCAGTACCAGACTTGAACAGTTAGCTACAACACAAAGCCTCTTTCAAAATGAAATGTCATAATAGCAAGACAAGTAAACCAGCTTAACAAGTGACACTGCTTGGCAGTGACTTGTCACTTAATTCTCACAAACATTTATTAGTGAATGCTTTCTCTTTTCACAAATGTTTTATACTTTAGCTCATACTGAATGGTCTAAAATAATGTTTGTGTGTTTATTTTATTGTTTCAGCTTTATTTTTTTTGTTTTTGTTTTTTTTCGAGACAGGGTTTCTCTGTATTGTCTTGGAGGCTGTCCTGGAACTAGCTCTTGTAGACCAGGCTGGCCTTGAACTCACAGAGATCCGCCTGCCTCTGCCTCCCGAGTGCTGGGATTAAAGGCATGTGCCACCACCGCCCGGCTTCAGCTTTATTTTTTTTTAAGGCCCAGTTTTTGATGTAAAAAGAGTGCCATGTTTCAGCATACAAAGAATCTAGTGCTTAGATCTAAAAGACTTAATTGGTTATGATGGCACATTATCTGACCCATTGTTTGAGAGACTAAGCCAGGAGGATTATGAGTTTGACATTAGCCTAAACTATATCAAAAGTTCCTGTCTCAAAAAAATAAAAGTTTTTTTTTGTTGTATATTGAAAGTATGTCTATGGAAATCTCACTTGCTGTTCTGTGCTATGTAAAGTCCTTTGTACTAATAATAGAGAGACATCAGTTTACTGCACTGTGTGTGCTTGTGGTGGAAGAGACAGTAAACGCTCTGGTGTTTTGTTTTGTTTTGTTTTGTTTCGAGACAGGTTTCTCTCTAGCTTTGGAGCCTGACCTGGAACTCACTCTGTAGACGGGGCTGGCCTCAAACTCACAGAGATCCGCCTGCCTCTGTCTCCCGAGTGCTGAGATTAAAGGCGTGCGCCACCAACACCACCAGGCTTTTACTTCTGTGTTTCATTTTTTCTAATTATTTTACTTTTTCTTTGTAATAGAGTCCTGAGTTCTCATCACATTCATTTTTTTTTTTTTTGTGGTTCTATGCTCTCCATTCTTCTTCTGCTAATAATCCTATTTCTATGACTGTGATGGGTAAATAAACTTAATATTATTAACTTCGTTCCACAGCCTTAAATGATACTAAAGTGTACTTGGTAAGGAAGGAACATATAGGTATCCAGTGTGTGGTAGACAGAGGCAAGAGGAAGCAAGTAGGGCCAGACTGAAACAAAAGACAAAAACTAATTGTAAAACCCCCTAGAGTATGAATGGCCTAATCTGCATTCAGATTAACTATTTAAATACACTGTTATATTTGCTGTGAGATTCATGTTTAAGTTCATAAGAATTTACTGCCCCCTCTTATAGAGGGTTTGTTTTTATATGAAATCTATGTATTGTTCAGCAGAACACTTTTTCAATGGTCTAGCTGATAGAACAAACAAATCACCTTATTTACTAGTAATAACCATCACTTGCTGAGTGTGCAAATTTTATTTAATCCCAAACAAACACACGTGTATGATTGATGCCTACGTCAGTGATGGAAAGGGCTTTCATAATTGATCAAGCTATGATTCAGGAGCTGGCATTTCCTCCAGTATTATGTTTCCTAGAAGATTACTGTAGCATTCACTAGTATAACTAGTAGTGTGTTGCATTCTATTGTATTAGTGTACGGCTCCTATTCCTATATGAAACTTCAAGAAGAAAAACATGGCAGATTCTTAACTTACAAATGATTTAAAAGTTTGCATTGATAAAAATTGTTATTTTACAATGGAATAATTTTTTCCTATTTCTCAGGAACTATAATAAAATATACTCCCTTTTGTTTCATTTTTGCCTTAGTCAGTACTTCCCAGGCTGGCTTTCACTTTGCTTTGTGGCTTGTGCTCTGAGGATTGAATTCATGTCCTCAAGCTAGTGCCTCAGTTCCTGAGGTAAAGTAATTTTGAAAACTGATATATTTCAGTTCACTTGTGATACTGAATGTGACAGAAAAAGGATGAGAGACTATAAGCATACCATTACCTCCAAAAGCTGTATTATAAGAGGGTTAATACTTTAACTAAAGGAAAAGCAGCCTAAATGATAAAATCTGTGACAAAGTTCAGATGATGGGGTGTGGCTCAGATATTTTTGCTCTTATTGGGAGGCAGTTACAAAAGAACTGTTAGATATTTCTCATGGTTTGCCTTTATATTTATTTTAAGCTGGCATTGATGAAAGACAAATGGGAGATTATATTCATCCAAAAAGTTAGCATTTATTTATTATTTGAAAAATATTCTCAGGAATTAGAAAATCATCACACATTTTGTATTTGAAGTTCAAAATAAGAATGTCCTAACAGTGTAATGAGGAAACCTTTCTTAAACTAAGAAAAGATTAGCAGCAGTAAATGTTAATCTGGAAAATCTACTCACAGGAACCGTGTAATTGGTTGAATTGCTTTCCCGTTGATGGCAGTGTGTAATTTTGAGGCAGCTTTTCCCTGTGATTTTGTACTACTCTTTGTGCTAACACATTAACCTAAGTTCTTCACCTGCTTAACAATTTAGAGTAATGTGTATTTTTTCTAAGCAAGAGAATCTTTCTATAGTGTGGATTATTACCCCAAGCTGAAGATTTCTACAGATGAATTTAATTCCTATATGCTTGTAGCTTCTTTTAGGTGTGGTGTGTCCTTTTAAGTTTCACTTTCTCCTTTAGCTTTTTTCTGTCAGCATTTTGTGACTCTTACATAAAGTCATACTAAAAGGAACAATAGAAATAAGACTGGCCATATTGTTGTTCCAGACCATTCAGTATTTTAATAGAATAGGTCTCGTGTCTCTTTAGTTTAATCTTTAAATTGCTGGTCTTTTTCTTTAGATTACTGACACGTCAAACACTATAAAGAAATGTGTGTTCTGTTTTGAATCAGGTGTTTATAGTGATACATGGTAGGAGTCAAAATTAGTACAAAGCTTTCAGAGCAGGAGTTGTTCATCAAGGGCTTGTTTTTCTTTATAGTTGACAAAAAAATTGTACCTACTACCTTTATTACATTTGTTTTTCAGTTCTAAATAATATTTTCCCAAAGCCCATCTGCTTACCTATGAAGTAAAAGACACTGGGGTAGAGACGATACATTTGCTGTTTCTTCTTGAATCTCTACTGGAAAATAGAGCTGCCTTTCTGTCTCCTCACATTTCCCATCTTCAGCTAGACAATTAAGAGAGGTTTGAGTTTAGAGCTGCAAGCACCTTCCTAGTATGCACAAGGCCCTGATTTGTACCCTAACACCGCATTTTAAAAAGTGGGTGTGGTAGTGCATACCTATAATCGCACCTCTTAGGACATAAAGGTAGGAGGATTGGAAATTCAAGGTCATCCTCAGCTACATGCTGAGTTTGAGGCTAGCCTGGGTTAGAGAGCCTACATTTAAAAAGGGGGGATCTTTATATATAACTTGAAAATCACCTTTTAAAATCCAGAACTTGCTGTAGTAGAAGAAAGGTCAGATATGAAGGTGAATACTGTCTTAAGCTTTAGTACAGAAAGCATCCATTCATACTCTTTCTAATAGATGCCTTATTTAGACCTAGATCACATAGCTAATAACTCCTTCATACATAAATATGCTGAATATTTGTTGTTTGTATGTATTCTATCTTTTCCCTCCCATAATCTTTTCAAGTTCAGGTCACCTGGAACAGCAGTCTTTCTATTTCCCCTTAAAATAACAGCAAAATCAGTTTTGAAAGTATCAAAAAAAACCCTGTACTATTTGTATATTGAAGCTTTTGTTGCCTTTGAGAGGAGTGTTAAGTAGCAGTTGGAAAAAGTTGTTGCCTTGTACTTGATATCTCCTTCTTACATAAGGTACAACTTCCCTGTAGAAATAATTAGGAAGGTGTATTTATTAATATTTGTCTTTAGGGAGGATCATGGTTTGTATAATAAAGTTTCAATTATGCTTGAATTATTTTGCTACTGTATTTTGCTACTCAAGCCAAGAACTACAATATCTTAGTTTTTTATGTACTTTCTACCTTACTCCAGGTACTACTGGTGAGACCTTTAGTGAAAGAAAGTCTTCAATTGCCAGCACAAAAAGAAGCTTCTGACTTGAAAGAACCTAGATAAAGATTGATAAGAGTTGTTAGTGTATGTTTTAAATGGCTTTGTGTCTTTTTCCCTTTCTCTTTGAACAGGAATCTTTTAGTACTTCTGTACAGCTGCACCTTGTACATCATGCTCCATGTAATATTCCTCCTTACCTCTCAAAGAATGAATCAAGTCTTGGGGACCTCTTACTGGGCTTTCTTAAATATTATGCTACAGAATTTGAGTGAGTAAAACTTGAAATTGTTTTTGTCTTTTTATACGTAAGTGACTGCTCTAGATTTAGAGGAACTGAATTTGTTAATTTCAGTGCTGAATGTAGGTTCATGAGATAGAGCACCTAACAGTTAATTAGTAGCAATTAATTTCAGTTTATTAATGGCAACTCATGTTCAAGTTTCTATTCTTTGATAATAAAAACATTCAGTTGCATAAGCCTAATTTTAAGATTCAGGTTTTTAAAAACATGTTTGGTGTGGGTGCAGTGCTCATGGCATCCAGCAGAGGGAGCTGGATCCCCTGGCGTTACTTGCAATTGTGAGCTGCTTGGTATGGGTGCTGGGTACAGACCTTGGGTCCTCTTCAAGAGCCGTACATGCTCTTAACCTCTGATCCATTTCTCCAGCCCAGAGAATGCCCGGGCTTTGTTTTATTTAATTTGTGATTCTGTGTTATGTTGATGACTCTCTAGTAGGGCCTAGGTGGGTCTTGTGTTTTAGTTCTGTGTAGGTGATATGTAGTTGGAACGTCTGTTTTCTAGGAATTTTAATTTTATAGTTTAAAAAACAAAACACAACCAAGAAAAACTTGGGATTTAAAAAAAAAAAGGTCAATATCTGAATAGTTATTAGAATGAAATGAAAATAAAAAATACATCTTTTCTTTGATTTGAAGGCAATATATAAGCATGAAACGATGTACAATCAGACACAGAACTTCTTTGGGAAGTTGTAAGTCCAGGTAGAGTAAGGCTGGTGGTTCCCAGTCCTCTGGTCATTCTAGAGAGTCTGAAGGAGGGGAGAGTCGTTAGTGAGGGAGGGGAGTGATAGCACCGATAGCCCCGCTAGGAGACAAAGGGCTTGTGAATAGCGGGTCTGTTGCCTCACTCAGGCTCTGTCATCGCCGTGTGAACCTGTGCTGCCTTGCATTTTGCCAGTGAGTCACAGAAGGATTCAGTAAGAGAGATGAAGCAATATGTCCAAAGAATTTATAGCTAGTGTGGTTAATGATTTCAGATAATTTGACTCCAAAATGCACATTTAGCTGTAATTTATGTAAATATGTAATTGGGGCTGCCTTTTTTGACATCATGCAGGCAACTCTAATGTCTATTTGAAACATAGGACATGAAAGAAGAAATACAATTCAAGTCTAACAAGTGGTTTCTGTATGTCTTTCATTTGTAGTAATGACCTCAGCACCTTGCCCAGTGCTAGAGAGTAAAATGTTTGTTATAGTTTTGGTGCAGAGGGTGAGGTTGTGAGGTTTTTAATGTGGATCAGAGATCCTTAAAGTAACTTAAAAGTTACTGAAGGAAGTTAAAGAAAGAAGTTGGAAAAGTGCTAGAAGAAAGCTGAATAAGAACAAAGTTAAAATAATCCAGATTAGCCAGGCATGGTGGCATATGCCTTTAGTCCCTGCCCTTATGAGACAGAGGCAGGTAGGTTTCTGAGTTCAAGGCCAGCCTGGTCTATGGGAAGAGTTCCAGGACTACACAGAGAAACCCTGTCTCAAAAGAAAAAAAAAACATTAAAAAATTAACAATCCAGATTAAAAATTGTCAAGCAATGTTAATGAGAAAAGATTGACAAAAGATGTAAAGCTGAAACATGAGTTACTTTTCTCTTTTTTACCCTGTGGATCCCAGGGATAAAATTCAGGTCCTCAGGCTTGGTGTCAGGTGTCTTACATGATGAGCTATCTCCCTAGTCCTCGCACCCACATTCTTTATTGACAGTATCTATTGTTGTATAAGTTAGACATTTGGTAATGTTAAGGGAGAAGGTTCACTGAAGAAAAGGGGTTTCTTCTGTATGTAGGTGCTTTGTTGAATTGACACATATGGTAAATGGAAAGGCTTTTGTGCTAGTTTAACATTAGTAGAAAATAGTTTGCTGGGTCAAATGATACTAGCTGAGATTACAATGTTTGAAAAGAGATTTGAAGACTTCATTATATAGTACTTTTGCCAAGTACATTATTTTTTGCAAGATAATTCCACATAGCTAACTGTGGGGAACTCAGCCAAGAATATGATCAAAGTAATAAATTAGGTACCATTTAAAAGGTTTTGGCAGCTGCTAAAATGTTTGTAAGGATTTCTTCTGAATTTTATTCAATTAAAAGCATCCTCTTTACTTGAAAGCCAAAAAATAACTGTCTGCTAAGGGATGTTTGAGTATATAAAGTACATTTTGTAGTTTTATATGACCATTTAAAAATTACTCGTTTGTTTTTTGTTTATTTATTTATTTATTTTTGCTAAGTCTTGGTCTCTGAAACAAGAATTGTCTAAGTTTAGAAGTTAAGGGTCAGTCTCTGTAATACAGCTATACTCTCTTAAAACAAAACAAAAAAAAAATAAAGATGAATTAGTAAAAGTTTCTACTGGTTGTAGTGCCCGCACACAAGCTAATATGCTAGAAAGGATGAGGCAGGAGGATCACAAGTTTGAGGACAGCCTGTGGGCTACAGCTTTTAGCGTCAGACATGGTGGCATATACATACATTCCCAGTACACATAAGATGGAGGCAGGAGGATCAGAATTTCAAGGATTGTCCCTGGCTACATAGCAAGCTACTACATAGCTAGGCTGAGCTTTGTAAGACCTTGTCATAAAAACAAAACAAAACAAAAAAGATCTTGAACGGCAAAAATTAAAGTGATGCAAATGTACTATTATAATCATATTTGGTTCAGTATGTACTCATTTTTCTCATTAAATTTTTTATTTTTAAAGAAAAGTATTGAAAGCACTTATAGTAATAGAGCAAAGTCCTCCTTTTCTGTTTGGAACTTACAGAACCACAGTACTTGAAGCATCTATTACATATGTTGTAAGCAACAACCAGTGTCAGAGTGTCTCCACTGACAACCCATTTACATGATATATATATATTGGTGTATAGATACATATGTATGCTTAAAGAATGTAAACTCTGTTGACCATGTATTTCCACACTAGTTGTCTTTCCCAACCCTCCTCCCTTGCCTAGATTCAAATCCAAGGCCTTGTTCATGCCAGGCAAACATTCTGCCACTGATATATATCCTTGGTCCTTTATCTTTGGAGACAGGGTCTTTCTATCCTGGGCAGGCTTTGAACTTGCAATCTGCCTGTTTCTGCTTTCTGAGTGCTGGGGTTATAGGTGCATGCTACCATCCTATACTCTGCACAGCTCTTAATCAAAGCAGGATTAGAAGACTATGCTTAGAGAATTCTTTCCAATGATTGAACTTCACAAACAGCAGATTATGCCTTACCTATTTAAAATTGAAAAGTAATCCTGTTTCCTGAAGCCTTTCATATAGGACCCATGATTTTGTTCTTAGCGATTTTCTGATACATAGAGCAAGAGTAGCTTGGGTGTTGGTGGGCCCCAAGCCATGGTCTTTCTTGGCTTGCTAATATGATAGAGAAAGCCAAATTGATTTTTACCTCATCCTCAACTTTATTTTTCTCTTGTATACCAGCTGAGTGCTCATGTGCTTTGGAATATTCCTTGGGGGGCTTTTATTTATTAAAACTCAGAAATACAAATAAGTGTTTATAATCTTTTAAAAACTATAAAATTAGTAGATACTATAGAACAGATAAGGTTTATATTCAAATATGTAGACAAAAATTGTTTCATTCAAAAAATTTGCCTATTGGATGCTGGGTATATATAACTCAGCTGGTAAATTGCACAAAGCTCTAGGTTCTGTTCCCAGCACTACAAAAATTGATGTTGGGAGGTGAAGGCCAGAGAAACAGAAAGAAAAAAGTACGCGGTCCTCTTGGGTACATAGCAAATTCAGGTAGCCTGGGCTACATGAAATCTTGTCTTATAGTACTGTTAACTACTGCTGCTGCTTATATAATAAAACAGAAACCATTAATTTTGTTTTCTTCCTTGCTTCTGCTAGCTACTTTCAAAAATTTATCCCAAATCCTATAAGATGTACCTGAAGAAAATTATGCAGTTATCAGAAAAAGAAAATGCCACAAGATTACCTCACAACCAATGAAAAATTCTTATTGAGGTATTAGCAGTAGACAGTGTTTTACTTATTTGAACTTTAAAGAATTTTTTCGTACTATTTCCTTTGTTAGTAAATGTGTATTCATATCTAGTGTATACTGAGGAACTAGCTGAATAACTAAAGACGTTCTCAGTGTCCTGGAACTTAACCTCTGCCTGGGAGAGGTATGCGGAATCACACATAATAGAAACATGGGACCTGGAGGACTGGTGCTGAGGGGTGGAGCCAAGGTTTAGTGTTTTGTCAGGCAGTCATGGTCAACTTTCCAACTGTTGAAATCAAAGAGAAATTAGGAAAGCAGCCAATTCTTTTTTGTTTTCTCCCTTTAGCTGGAACACTCAGATGATTTCAGTTCGTGAAGCCAAAGCCATCCCAAGACCTGATGATATTGAATGGAGAAATAAATACATCTGTGTTGAAGGTAGGTTTCCTCTTACCGCTATCTGCCATCTAATTACCATCATTGTACTGACTTTTATTTCTGCTAAAATCATGTATTTATGTTGTGAGGTGATTTATATGGTTACCTTTACATTTTTAATTTGGAAAAGCATTTAAAGTTCTTTAGTTGTGAGAAATACTAAATGTGAATTTGAACATTTTAGTTGGTAAGATTTGAGCAATTCATTCATTATTCGTACTATAGTTGATTGAAACTGTAATATTTGTGTTATATATTTACAAAGTTGTTTTAACCTTAAAAATTGGTCTGAAAACAATTCTGTTTTCTAAAATAAGTGTAAATGTAGTTAACATGTAGTAACATTCTTGAGACGTGTTCTTTGACTCAGTGGGACAGTAATTTCCAAAGTCCTACCTCATATGCTGGGCCCTGAGTTGGATCTCCAGCACTAATTGTGCCTCTGACAAACAAAAGTAAATTTTGCTTTCTTAATGCAAATTGAAACATTTTGTAAATGTTGAAGTGAAGAAGAATTTAGAAAGCCAACATTTGTAGTAAATATTACACTGAGAATATTTTAACCTTTTTTTTTTGCAACATTTTAAAAGGATACATGACTGAATTTAAATCTTCTTTGGTGTTTAGTTTACTGGTGTTGCACAATGAGTATATATTTAGTTACTTTTGTTCTTGAAAATTAAACATTTTAATAAAGTGTTATATGATGTGATCCCATACAATGTGTCATAGAGCCTTATTCTACTGAAACCTGAAAACACAACAAAAAAGCTCCACTATACTTGGAAGTCCTTTTAAACAGCTTTCCTAAGTAATACAGAGTAGAATAGAATAGAATAAGAGGACCTGTGAGATGGTTCGGAAGGTAAGGGCACTTGCTGCCAAGCCTGCCAACCTGCGGTCTGTCCCCAGGACCCACGTAGAGGCAGTTGTCTTCTGACTGCACGTATTCCATGGCATACCTTACCTGCACCCACATATATAGGCATACACAAAACAAACTGCTAAACAATACAAACTAGGGCGTTTTTAGAAGTATGAGCCTGCTTAGGTTATATGAATAAAGTCAACCTCTCCGTTGTATTTCTTTCTTCTTTCATTTGCTTTCTTTGGGTTTCCCAGGTTTTTACTCTTAGCTACTATTCAGCAACTAAATTGATTTTTTTTTTTACTTTCATTCCTCCCTTTCAGCTTTAAGCAAAACAAGCAACTTAATCTGTGTGTGTGTCCTTCCACCCTTCCTTGTCTCTGTATGGCCTCTTGTGCTGTGTACTGTGGGTGAGAGCTACTAACCAGGGTGGCGGTACAAACACAGAGGACAAGATAGGGAGCACACACAAGTACTTGGTTTCCTCCCGTCTTCTCTGCTTAGAATTATTTTTCCCTTTTCACTGTCGGATTCCTCATGGGTAGATATTATTCTCACTGGCTCTCACTCTAGTTTCTAAACATCCATTCACACCATAACATGCAGTACTGTCTTCCGTTCTCTTCAGTGTTGAACATCTCCTCTAGGTTGTGAACCTGTGGGTCACAACCCCTTTCAGTATACAAAGACTCTCACAACAGTAGCAAAATTATAGTTATAAAGTTGCAACAAAATTAATTTTATTGTTGGGGGACACTACAGCATGAGGAGCTGTATTAAGGGGTTGCAGAGTTAGGAATGTTGAGAACCATTGCTCTCCTCAGAGGTTTCTGACCTTTTCCTTTTGGGACATAATTTTAAATTAAAATTATGTTCATGCTTACCCTTCTGTAACATCTGGCACTGTGCCCCTCTCTTAAATGTAGTGCTTCATGTTTATGTAACTTTTGATTCTCCTAAGGATAGGTCCTTGGCCATCTGTAAACCTTTAGAAATCTCATCCACTCAGTTGCACTTCTGATCATTTCTATCATTCCTCTGACTTGAATTCCATAGCTAGATCAAACTTGTGTGTGTGTGTGTGTGTGTGTGTGTGTGTGTGTGTGTGTGTGTGTGTGTGTGTGTGTGTAGTACAGTAAAAATATTAGGCTAAGCCATATGAACTTACTGTTTTTGTAAGTCAGAGGCTGTGACATACTGACAGTTTCATATAATTGGACCTAATGTAAAAGTGTTCTTAGGCTGGGGCCATAAGTCGGTGGTAGAACACTTGTCTAGTATATATGAGACCCTAGGTTTGATCCCAATGCGGGGGGTGGGAAAAAAGTAAAACTCCATTGCACTAATTTCTTTTCCTGTACGTTTCATGATGCAGAACCATTTGATGGAACTAATACCGCCAGAGCTGTGCATGAAAAGCAGAAGTTTGATATGATCAAGGATCAGTTTTTAAAGGTAAACAGTATATCATATTGGCTCTAAAGATGTATTTATGTGTTTGTGTCTATAGTATTAGTTTATTCATCAGTAGTTTTGCTAGATGAGGTACCTGCCAGCAATGAATGGCAGTGTGAAAATGCATTGATAGAACTAGGAGGGAAAGCTTCATAGGAGGGGAGGGTCAGAAAACTGAGCGTACTTTGGATATAATGTTTTCATTATTGGGACAGACGGACAGACTTTCATGTAACTAAAATGCAAGTAGTGTGCTGCAGGCTCTCTTCAGACTAGTCCTTGCCTCACAGCAAGCAAAGTGGAACACTGGTTTTCTTATTTATTGCTCACTTGTTCTTGGTACTGGGTGAGCTTCCTTTAGGATTATCTGACAGTAAAACCAACACTTTTAGCTACTTGAACATCTGATGTCTTCATAGAATTGTGACCTGGATTTTTAGCCTATGAACAAGAATTGCAATATCTTTTCATATAAACTCTTTCGCTATTTTCCAGGGCATGCACAATTTTACATTTACTCTTGCCTTCATAAAAATACTGTTTTGATTGAAAAAGCTAGAAAACAAGGTTATCTTCCCTTCTTAAATTCAAATTGAGTACTTTGCTATTTTAGATAAAATAATTCAATCTGTAAGTTACATTATTATTGCCACTTATAGCTTTTTTGCCACCTATGTATCCATTTTTTAAAAAATTAATGCATAGAATATTAAATAATTGTTTTTTCTGGTGATAATAACATATCTTGGGAAATAAAAATATAGAAAAATAATCTAAACTTCTACATAGAGAGAACCACTACTAATACTCTTTTAAGATTTTAAAATTTGGTCTTTGTTCTGTGTATAGTTCGTATTTGGACATTGATTTTTTTTTTTTTTTCCCTTTTCTAGTCATGGCACAGATTGAAAAACAAGAAAGATCTGAACAGTGTTCTGCCTTTGAGGGCTGCTACCCTGAAGAGATAGCTGGCCTCTAATTCTTAAATTCTTCCAAGAAATAAAGAACAATAGTTATATCATAATGCATTTGTTTACCTCCATCATGGTTTATTTTTAATGTTGTTATTGTTTTTGTTTTATTTTTAAAAGGACATACTTATATAAAGATTGCATATTTTATTATGACATTTCCTAATAAACTGTTTGATTTAAAAATGTATTTTTGAAAATGTTTACATTGATGATTAGTAGTACTATGGCATGACTTTTCAGCATAAAGTATATTTTGAGAAATTACCTGAACTAATAAGGTTTTGATATAATTTTGGGTAATTGTACCACATGCTAATACTGAAGAACCATGTGGAATTTTGCAAAGGATCTAAGTAATACATATTTACAGTGTAACCGGCAGTAGACATTTGTCTAGCTCAGTTCTAGTCAAGGGAAGATTCAAGTCAGTTATTCAGTTACTTGAAGCAAATGAAATTTTTCATTCAGTGGCATCACTGTGGAGTCTTGAAATGCTGGACGATTGCCTTAAGTCTTCACTTGAGTCCCTGGGCCAGCCTGTCTTTGACATGTGTCTGCACTGGTGTTCCATTAGCACGTCACACCTTGCTTTGATAGACTCTGGAGGTTGCTTTGGATTGGTGTTGAAACAATACATTTTGCACTGTTGCAGCAGAGCACTAACAGCAGTTAGTGACTTGCTTACTGAACTGTTAGAAAGTCTCTGACTTAGACACTTTGGAAAAATGAAGTTTCCTATGCTTTCTGATAGCATAGTGCAGTGTGCACTGTTGCTTTACCTCCGTTTTCCTGATGTTATTTTCTTCATGATAGAAAACAGCAGAAAACTGAAACATCAAAGTTAAGATTATATCCTATTTGTAGAATCAGATTTCTGTGGATTATAATCTAAACTGGAATTTTTAGGCACTAAGCCACTACAAAGTGTTTTAGATAAGACAATAAAATTATAAATAAAAGTTTAATGTTTATACAAAATTCTTTTTTAATATTTCTTTTCCACATAAAATAGTAGCTTCAGATACAAGCTATTCTGTTTATTAAGACTGTTTTTAGTTTATGTAAATATTTGTAAATTGGTCAGTACCTGTAAATTTAAATAAAAGTAATCTTGAAGACAGTTTTAACTTTTTCAAAGATTGCAAACTTCTTGTAGGCCTGTGGTGGCACAGTTTGTACCACTAAACCATTTTTTTGCAGACCAATTAAAAAACTAAGCATTCACTTTCTTTGACTTATAAAGGGTGCGTACTTTGTTTTTAAGTTTAAATTTTTGTATGCTATCAAATGGAATAAAGTTTATATCTGGAAATTGTTATTGTGTAATTTTTCTGTGAAAGTCATTGGTTTTGTAATGAAATTGGGGCTGTACTTATCTGAACTGATCTGAATCCAACTCTGTGGTTAAACCTGCTAACCACCGTATTTCTCCGGCTTTATTAGGTTTAAAGCTGTCCACGTGGGTGGGTTTTTTAGACGGCTGATCTGTAGTACTTTTGATACAGTTAAGCGTTTTATATATGAATTCTTTTTTCTTGGAAATGTTCCTGAGATCTCCACGCTGTGCAGCTCTTTCTCATGCATTGAATATGCTCCCAGGTAGTATGTGTAAATAGTGGTCACGTAGGGATGGTGTTCTGCTTTGCAGCATTATGACATTTAATAAAGCCTCAGAATTAACCGCAGTGTGGACTCTTGCATCACCACCGTGTTATCAGTTTGCAGTGGCCCCACCCTACTTTTGAACCGATTTGTTGTAACAACCAATACATTTACATCCTGGCACTAATGGACCAACACCAAAGATCATGTACTTGTGACAGTCCAGCGTATTAGGTAAGTGGGCTGTTAACCCATGAGATGGTTTTTAAAATTTATTTTCAGTGTTGGGGCTTGAACTCAGCCCTTGCCTCCTAGGCAATTGAGCTAGATGGAAATTATTCTCAATTTCAATTTTGTGTGAATACTACATTTTATTTTGTGTGCGTTGGTTGCTCCATTTCTATACTATGTGGTGTTAAAGTATTGTTAGTGTTAGAAGTTTTGGGTTATTTGAAATAGTATCTTGACAAAATTAATGGTAAAATAGCCTGCTGGTCTACACTTTGTTCACAGACCCAATGTATAGCATACATGCTGTTGTAGCTGGAGAATAATACCCTACCTTAATGACTCCTTTACAAACTATTAGTAGAATCTGTTGTGATTAAAAATAAAGGTTTGGCGTCCTAGTCCAAACCTTTCTCGGGAAAGAATACTTACAGTGAAGAAGTACAATAGGCCACCGTGGTTTGCCTTAGGTATTTGGCCAGCCTAAGGGCTTCTAAAAAACGGTGATGGGGCAAAGATAAAGAACAGTCTGCTGTCAACATACTTAGTGGGCCGCTTTGAGGTCCTGGAGAGGAGCAGCGATTTCAAAACATTTCAGAGAAAGGTGGTGATCTTGAACAATTAGTAGGCTGGGCCTTTGAGGCAGAAGGCGATCTATTTGATATGGTGCAAATACCGATTTCTGAAAGTGGATTAGTCAGGATTTGAACTCACAGAGTCTTGGGCTTTAGTCCTAGAGCTGTATTTGAGAGGTTAAGCACTGGCTTTACATGATCCAGTGAGATCTCAGTCCCCTGGACACCGAGTCTTTGGGTAGTGTGGGTGTAAGGCAGAAAGAGGTTCTCTGGAACAGTCTGGTGGTTGGAAAGTGAGCCCCTGTATCCAGCACGTCTACCAAGTTTCCCATTGTTACCTTACTAGCAGTGGGACCTTAAACTATTTACACACTGGCACCATAACATCAGATATAAGGGAAGCGAGTCCCTGGCTGAGTGCTGCCTCATTTGGCATAAAGGAACCATCCAGCAGCTCAGCTGGAAGTGTAAAACCCCCAAGATCACTGGCTGGAAGGCTGGGCTGGCCCTTCTCTTGACAGCCAGGTGCAGCCCTCAGCACTGCAATCTGTCCTGGTCCCAAAGGCCGCTGAAGATCTGCCAAAACGGGCAGGGCAGTTGGCAGGCGACTGGGACCAGGGATAGCTGAGCCCGGGCCCCGGGCCCTAGAAGCTCAGTGGTGAAACTATCTTGACACCTTCTATTTAAAGGCTTTGGGCGCCCCCGCCCCGCGCGCCGGGAACCCGAGCAGCCCCGCGAGTCCGGGTAAAGCACAGTCAGACGGAGAACATCGGGGGCGGCGCGGGCAGCTCCTACTCTGGTCGGGGCAGGCAGGATGGCGAGCGGTGACAGCAGACTTTCCGCCGAGGGCTTCCTAGGCTGGGGTACGGACGAGGCGGCGGCCCAGGAGCTGGAGACCGAGGAGTCTTCGGAGGGTGAAGATGAGGAGGCCGAGTCAGAGGAGGAGCCCGACGCCAGGTAGCCTGAGCATGTTGTGCTGGATCCCAGGCACCGCCTCGGGCCTGGCAAAGCTGCCCATCCCACAGGTGTCTCGCTAGCCACCCCCGGGCCTTTTCCTTTTTTTTTTTTTTTTTTTTTTTTTTTTTACAACCTGAGGAGTTCACTTCCCTGCAGTCAGTCTCTCTGTCTGGGGCGCCCCGCCTTCTTTAAAAACTTGAAGGTAGAAGGTTCTTGCTGTCAGCTGGAGTGACAGGTCCGCCTGCAGCAAAGTTCACAGTCAGCCCCCACCCTCACCCCCGCCTCCTTGTGACTTGCTTGGTTATTCTTGGATACTTACTTGGGGTTCTGCCTAACTGCAAAACTGTGCTGGAATGCTTGCCTCCTGCTCTCCCCGCCGGATCAATCTTGCCTGCCTAAGCGTGGGGAAGGGTCTGGAGGCAGAGAAAGCTAGGTGCGTTCATTACCTTCAAAGATATGGTGGCCTCCTGGAGTTCTAGCACTGGACTAGTTTGCTGTATGGAAACTTCAGTTTGGTGCAAACACCCCATACATTTCTTAGAACCATGAAGGCCAGGTGTGATGGCCCACCCCATGATTCCAATGTTAGAAAGGCAGAAGCAGGAAGACCGTGATTTCAAGGCCGGCTGGGCTATATCGAGAGCTGTTTCGACAATTTCTGTCCTAATAGTCTTTCTGATCCTAAACATCTACTTATCAATAAGGTGAATGAGATTAAGTGACACGGTATTGAAAAGTGGGACTCTCTCCGCTTGGTCCCTTTTCATGCAGGTCTGAAATGAGAATAGTGGTATGGATGTCTTGTTTTATCCTAAGCTTGTGTTAATCAATGATAGCTCGTCCTGGCTACTGCTATCAGAAGGCTTTGGGGGTGGGGGAGGCAAGCGACTGTGTACCATTTGAGAATGCCCCACTGAGGCCAGAAGAGCTAAAGTTCGGTAGCCCAAAAGTGACACAGAAGCCTGGGGAGGTGGCAAAGTGTTTGTATTGTAAGCACAAGGACAGAAGTTCATTCCCCACTACCTGTGTTCAATACCCAAACACCGATAAAAAGCCCAACATGGTGGCTTGTAAGGCCTGTATTCTCCATATTGGGGAGTTGGAAACAGACAGAATCCCTGGGGCTCACTGTCCATCAACCTCACCTATTTAGTGAGTTCCAGGGCAGTGACGGCAGTTTGTTGGTGACACACGCCTTTAATCCCAGCACTCGGGAGGCAGAGGCAGGCGGATCTCTATGAGTTCGAGGCCAGTCTGGTCTACAGAGCAAGTTCCAGGACAGCCTCCAAAGCCACAGAGAAACCCTGTCTCAAAAAACCAAAAAAAAAAAAAAAAAGAGACTGTCTTTCAAAAAAAGAAGTATGTTGCAAGCAAAACAGGTAGATACTCATCGTATAACAAAAGTTTTATTATGCTGAGAGTCATCACATAAGATTCACACTCTAAGTTCCTAACTATGGTCCTAAGCCTATCTCCCCAAGGCTGCTCACCTGTGCAACATATCTTAGCTGGAGGTCAGGTCCAGCCTCTAACAGAAGTCTCTGATCTGGAGGGTCCTGATCCTGGAGGAGACTCTCCAGCTGCAGGGCAGATCTCTCCAGATGTGCAGATACTGCTTAAATACTGTCCAGTGGGCATCATGGGGTCTAGGACTGTCTGGTTATCTTGAGTGAGTGATGTCACTGGTTACCAGGGGCAGCCTTGGATGTAGTGGAGATCCTGACTAAGCCTTTTTTTACATGTCTAAAAGGCATGTTTTACTATGCCCATTGTATTGAATGTGAGGAAGGTCTCCACATGCATATAGATGTAGTCCGTGTGTACACATAGGGTGACACTGATAAGGGAAAACAGTTAAAAATCTTGACTCATAGCTTACATGCTTACCAAGCCAACTACCAAGAAGAAAACAGCTTTTGTTATCAAGAACTTGAGAGAAAAAATTATGAGGAGTACATGACTATATGCTAAAGAGGTTGGACTTTCAAAAACATGGTATCTTAGTTAGGGTTTCTATTGCTGCAGCAAAACACCTTGACCCAAAAGCAGGCTGGGGAGGAAAGGGTTTATTTGGCTGACACTTCAGCATTGCTGTTCTTCACTGAAGGAAGTCAGGACAGGAACTCTAACAGGACAGGATCCTGGAGGCAGGAGCTATGCAGAGACCGTGGAGGGTGCTGCTCACTGACTTGCACCTCGTGGATATAATTCATCTGAGGTAAACTTCAGCCTGTCCCGACTGTAGATGGTAAAGTAGACTCTGCAGGGAAACAAGTCGGGATGGGTAGGTGGTGATGGAGACCTGGAAAACTGCCAGTTTTGACCTGGATGATGAGCAAGCTTCTGAACAGGGTTTGAGAGAAGAGACTCGACTCGGAGAACAGCATTGACAGGCAGGCTGGGAAGGTGAATGTCAGCAGAGTTTCTGTGAGGAAGGCAGCAGAAAGAAGTGTTCGCTAGAGCGTGGACTGTTTGGGGGTAATTGGAAGGGGATGGGAGCTCTCTCTCACCTCAGTGTGGTCAGGAATCAAACCACTTCATTGTGTGTGAGTTTAGTAACATGGCCTGAAGCTCTGTGTTCCTTGGAGAAAGGAAATGAGAATTTGGAATAGGCGCTAATAGATGGGAGGTGAGAATCATATATCGTCCTCCTTCTTTGAACTCCTGCACAGGAGGCTGACACTCAGCAGAGGGCCTTATGTTTACCTTTGTTGTCTTATGTTAAACCCTCCCAGCAGGATGGCAAGGCCACTGTCTGTTCTGGAAGAGAAAACTGGAGCCCCATATCATTCACTGGGGATAAAAAACAAACAAAACAAGAAATCGTAAGATGCAGTGTGTGCACACAGCAAGTCATGGGACTTTGACCATTCGTTGTTTTGAGGAGGGGTCCCTCCTTCTCCAGGGAGAGCTAAATCTGCTTAGCTTTTACTTTGAGAAGCCACGAGAGAAAAAGGGAAGACTTAGATTCTGCACCACAGTGGGCTTTTTGTTTTGTTTTGCCCAGACATTGTTTAGGTTTTCTGAAAGGCCAGAAACTACAGTCACAAACGAATTGAGTGAGGGTAGAGGCCAGAGGTCACTGTTGGATTTCTTGATCATACCTTATGCTTTGAGACAGGGTCTCTCACTGAACCCGGAGTTCACTGATCCTTTGCCAATGAGCTCCAGGGATTCATTTGTCTCAGCTTCTCCCCACCCCCAATGCTAGAGTGACAGGTGACATTGCTGTGACTGGCTTTTCTGTGGAGGCTAGAGATCTGAAGTGAGGAGCTCACACTTACATTTCTGGCATTTTAGCAACTGAACTACCTCCCTAGCATTATAAACTAATTTTTAAAATTGAAAAGCATATACGAGTTTAAAAGTAAAAATACTCCAAGGAGCGTTGACAATGGTGGATGGTGCGTCTATTTACTAAGCCACAATACAATTATTTTATGATATAAAATGATGTTGTACTGGTTAAAGTTGTGTCACCTTAACAAAAGGTCAGGCTATGTAGAAAGAGGGAGACTCAGTTCAGAAAACCCCTCTCTCAGACTAGACATTTTTTTGATTGATGATTGAGGGATGGCAAGGTGGTGCTGAATTGTCAGAAGAAAGCCAGTAGCAGCATCCCTGTGTGGTCTCTGCCTGGTTCCTGCGCCGCGTGCCCTCAAAGATGGAGTGCAATCAGTAAAGGGTTGTTTACCACAGCAGCAGAGAATAAAGTAGGGCAGATGTCAACCAGTAAATGAATATTCTAGAGAAAGCTTAAAAGATTAAGGCTTAACAAGGTTGATAGTGATTGTTTCCAAGTTCTGAGATAATAAGTAGAAATTTACTTTAACTTTCAGTTTTTTTTCTTTCAGTGAATACATAGTACATGGTATTATCAAGAAAACTTTACTGTTAAAATTAAAGCAAACTAATCTAAATGTTCTTTACCCTTCCAATTATAATATGTAGAATTATCTACCTTTATGGTTGATAAAAAATATCCTGGAGGCAGAGTTTTTTGTGCTGCCAGTCAGTTCCCAAATAACTACATGGAAGCTTAATATTAATTATAAATGCTTAGTTGAAGCTGAGGCTTGTTACTGGCTAACTCCCACATTTTAATTAACCCATATTCCTTATCTACATTTTAATTAACCCATATTCCTTATCTATCTACATTTTGCCACGTGGCTTGGTACCTTTTCTCAGGTCGCCATTCCCGTTTTGCTTTTCTCTGTGTCTGCCTGAGACTCCTCAGACTCGGCCTCCTTCTTCCCAGTGTTCTCTCAATTTGGCTCTCCCACCTAGCCGCCTGTCTAGCTATTGGCCAGTTAGCTTCTTTTTTGAACCAATCACAGTGGCATGTATTCACACAGTATGAAGGAATATTCCACACTATCCCTTCTAACGACAAAAATGCTTTTTGAGTTGAGAAAGCTCATCCTCATCATTTAAGGGGTCCATTCTTTTCCTGGCTGCTGCTTGCTGTCTCCCGTGCTAGGCAAGTGCTCGGCCAGTGGGCTGTGCTGCTAGCCACAGGACAGCACCGGCTCCTAATTATTAGGCTGCTCTAAGGATTAAATAAACTGAGAAAGTGTGAGGGCCTACCTGACTGTAGTTGTTTTTAGTTTAGCAGCCCTCAGATAGGCCCTTACCAGAAGCAAAACCCTACTTTGGCCTGCCATTCATTAATGAGGGTAAGAGGTGGTACCAGCTTTCAGCTGAGCAGAGGCTCCGTCTGTCCCAGGGGAGTTTATCTGTGTTCATGCGGGAGATGTTTGTGGAGAGCCAGGGACTGTGACACCTGCTGCAGACAAAGTCATCAAGAATTTACTACTGTCCTCAAGGAACTCGTATTTGGGTAGAGTGATGGAAAACCACAGTTATGTTATTAACCATTGAAAGGATTGAAGGGGAGGTTTTGTTTGAAACACCCCAAAGGGTGGAGGGAATCCTAGACTCCATCCTAGCATGCAGGGAGAACTGGAGAAGCTGCACCCCGGAAGAGGATTTTGGGT